CCAGCCAAGTCAAGAAATACAGTGTCATACATACCTCAAAGGTTCTCCCATCCCTCCCACAAAGAAATCACAACTAAAATCCCATTGTTTCCATAAAAACATGTCTTCCTCATGGACTACTACAGGGATTTTTCTCACTGTCTTCTACAGTCAATACCTCTTATCCCTATAGAACTGCAAACAAATGCTTTTAGGTGGTTTTTATATTGTTCTTTAGTGCTAAGATCATCATAGTTATTCAACCTAACAAAAGCCTTCTATATACCATATATGATAACACCAATTTTTCAATTTGTGACTTTGCTATCTAAAATAGTTTCTATATAATCTAAAATAAGGTACAAACATCAAGATGCTAAATCATTCTTTATTAGCAAAAGACAATTCTACCAAGGTAGACACCATGGAAACTACATTCATTTCAACCTTAAAAGGAAATGAGCTAAGTGTAGTAGTGCATACTTTTAATCCCAGCACTCAGTAGGCAGAGGCTGGAGGTGGGTTTCTGTGAGTTCTAGGCCAATTTGTATAGAATGCAAGTTCCAGGCCAGCCAGAGTTATACAGTGAGCCTTCAACACAGCAGTTGTCGTTACCTTGCCTACTTAACAACTTCCTTGAACTTTATGATTTATCATGAACCTCTGAGTAATAAACATGCACATAAGAGCTGAAGCAGTAGGCCCTTTGTGAATTCAAAGTCAGCCTGAGCTAGGGTGAGTCCCTGTCTCAGACACAAAATTATACACAATTATACACAGTTTCGACAGTTTCTTCTCTGCCTTGTCTGTAAGGTACTGTGCGCCCTGGCTCATTGAGAACAGGTGGAGTCTATGTCAGAAATAGGGATCACATATTCATGCTGTCTTCCATGTCACAGAGGGTGTGGCTGGAAGCAAGACAGAGTCCCCTTCTTCTTCTTCTCTTCTCCCTGGGCCTCAAGATTTCTAGCATGGCTTGATGTCACTGCCCATGCATAGCTACAATGGGCTCTGCCCCATTCTTATTGAATTAGACTGGGTAGAGGAACCCCGGTGCTCTATCCGTCGGGCTTTATATACTCTGACCTCCCCTCTGCACAGTGTGGACACAGAGGCCTCATGGTACACACGACTTAGCCCAGCTAGCAAGTAAATGCTGGGCACAATGCCCGATGAAAAGCCTTGAAGGTGACCACAGGGCAGTGAAGCAGCACCAGGCCCTAAGCCCATGCCCACCTATATGTAGGAGGGCAGTGTTCTGGCTGTTTCCTGCTTGGAGCATTCCCAAAGGCAAAAGCCAAGCAGAAAGTTCACCTGATCTAGAACTATATGTTGATTTCAGCAAGCCTATCTTGCAGAAAGTTCTCTTGAGAACACATGAGATCCAAGTCCCTTTTATAAAGTTAAATCTTTCAACCCTGAAGGGTAAGATAAGTGTAGGTCTCAGCCACGAGCTCACCTGTCTAGTCAAAAAGAATCTATAGTTTAGGCATTATGACCTACTTCTCCCCTGCTACACACATGAACCAGGCATCTGAGAGCTCTGGAGTGGAAGCTGAGCCCTAGACTGCTAGTTCAAACCTCTTTCCAATATGGAAAGCTGACTGTAATAGCTGAAATGTTTAGGAGGCATCTTTTAAAAACACCTTCTAAAAAAACATGTATTTATTTTTATGTGTATGGGTGTTTTTGTCTGCATGTATATCTGTGTACTATATACATGCAATGTACATAGAGGCTGGAAAAAGGCACCAAATCTTCTGGAACTGGAGTTACACATAGTTGTAAGCCACCATATGGGTGCAGGGAACCATGAGCAACAAGTGCTCTCAACTGCAGAACCATCTCTCCATTTTTTTCCTTTTTAAAGGTAAGAAATTGAGGCTCCAAGAGATGAACTATTTTACTGAGTAGTCCACCAGAACATGAACTGGCCAAACAAGGAAGGGCATCAGAGGGCTCTAGGTCCCAACCCAGGTTCTTATGAACAGTCTCAGTAACTCTGGGTTTCAGTCACAAAAGGCAGTGTGGCAGAACTGGAAGAATCAAGCAGATCTGCTCTAGGTAGAACTCAGTATAGAAACAATAAACTAGTTTCTACACCCATTCAAAAACAAAAATTACAGAAATGAAAAATGCCCGTCATGGGGGCACTAAGTCTTCTCTCCCTTTATCATTTTAAAAAAAAAAAAAATACTGAAATTTTTTTTTCATTCAAGTCAAAGAGCATAGCTATGTACAGAAAACCAGACAAGGAGGTCCTCCATCTTCCCCACAAGTCCTTCCTTCCAATTCCCATCAGTATGAGACTTGGAAAGATGGGGAGCCTATAAGCAAAGGAACTGCCACTGCTTCAGCTGGGAGCTTTCTTCACACATGCAAGTCAAGTTTTTTTCCAAGTGAGACTAAAATTGCAGGCATTCCACACTTCCTGCTGACCCACGCTGGACAGCCAAAGTGGAGATTTCCAGTGTATAAGAGAAATGTTCCTCCAGAGAATCATTTCCGAGGGTTGGATACACAACATGAATGGACACATGACGTGATCACACCTGACTTCTCCTGGCAGTGGATGGAGGTGATGGTTGAGCAAAAGTTTCTCCAAAGCCAGAATGGAGATGGCCAGGGCATGATGAAGTCCATCCAAATGGTCTGTGCAGCCCATGAGTGGACAGCAGCTACCAAGAGGACTCAGCAGAAAGGCAAGCACTGCCAAAGAAGTTGTCAAAAGAAACAGACTCTCACTTCCCTCCTAGAAGCATTATTATAGCTTAGTCTACTGTAAGCCACATAGTGGACAAGAATTAGAACCAGAACACCCATGATACAAGGGAGAAGTTAGCCAGGAAACCTCTTCCACCTGTGCAAGCAAAAGCAACCCTCCTCTGTCACTTCACAGCTCCAACCCACTGGACACCAGCTTTGGCACCCTTCTAGTATATACACGGAGTTATGTATAAGTCAGTGTGCTTACACCAACATACTTCTTCCCAGCAGCCAAACTTCAAGAGGCACCATCAATCGCTATTATTCCTTTTTTCTGAAGTGGGTACATCTCTGACAGAAAAGCAAATCTGAATGAACAGAGAGTTGAGAGGGCAAGGACATGCTAGATGTGATATCAGTAGGAGTCTACATGCAGGGAGGGCTTTCTGAAATAACACCACCAAGTCACCCGAAGAACATAAAAGAGCCTAACACAGACCTGAGGAGCCTAAACATATGCGTCTTCTAGCCATTTTACAAAACAATCAAGTTTTTTTTTGTTTTGTTTTTTGTTTTTTGAGACAGGGTTTCTCTGTGTAGTTTTGTGCCTTTCCTGGAACTCACTTTGTAAACCAGGCTGGCCTCAAACTTACAGAGATCCGCCTGGCTCTGCCTCCCGAGTGCTGGGATTAAAGGCGTGCGCCACCACCGCCTGGCAGTAAACTCATGTTTTTCTAACACCAAAATGAACTTGTGTGAGGCAACTTCTAGTTTTGGAAATATACAAAGTCACCTCATACTTAGATCTTTAAATAGGCAGACTCACTTCAAAGTGCTTTATCATTTGGTAAGGCCATAAATCTGAAGGCCAGCCTTCCAGATGAGGACAAGGCAGAAGTGAATTTAATGGGACACATTTGGGTCAGATCCTCAATGCAGGTTTTCTCTTAGCTCTTGAAACATTTTGTTTTTAAAACTACCAGGATCATCTTGGTAATTTAAATCAATACTTCCAAAAGAAACAAACAAAAAAATTATAATAGTTCAAGTGCTATAAGTGAATGATTTGGTTTTGTTTTTTAAATACAGGGTCTTACTATGGAGCTCTAGGTGGCCAAGACCTTGCTATGTAAATCAAGTTGGTCTTGAACTCACAGAGATCAACCAGCCTCTGCTTCCAAAGTGCTTGGATTAAAGGTGAGTGCCTCCATGCCTGGCTATAAGTATGGAGAACACACTGGAAATTGATGTTCCATTGGGTATTTTTAAAAAACTGTTATAAGCAAACCGTATCAGCTTAGGCATGTAATCTTAGCACTCAGGAAGCTGAGGCAGAAAGACTGCTATGAGCTCAAGGACAGCCTAAGGCTACTTAGTAAATTCCAGGCCAACCTGGGCTACCCAGGTCTTGTCTTTTTTTTTTAAAGGGGGGGGGGGCAAACTTGGTCTGAAAAGAATGTAAGAGCAAATTTCCTGCACAGTTAATAAAAACCACTATGTTGAAATACAAATAGACAAAAGAAGACAAGGAAATAAGGGCATGTGAAGAACCAAAATGGTACTTTTTTTTAAAAAAAGTTACTTTTTGGGCTAGAGAGATGGCTCAGAGGTTAAGAGCACTGGCTGTTCTTCCAGAGTTCAATTCCCAGCAACCACATGGTGGCTCACAACCATCTGTAATGAGATCTGATGTCCTTTCCTGGTGTGCAGATGGAACACTGAATACATAGTAAATAAATAAATCTCCAAAAACAAATCACTCCTTTAAGAGGCCTCAAGAAAGCAGTTACAGTTTCAACCCAAGAAACTGTGGGCTGCCCTCCTGATAGGTCCCTGTTGGTTTCATCAAGTGGAGATCCTTTCTGTGACACCAAGTATACCTCAGCTGAAACTCTAAGGGTCCCATTTTTGTGTTCTTCATACTTTGAAGCTAGGAAGTCTTAGGCAGAGGACAATGAGCCAAACGCAGCCTCTGCCATCACTAACCTTACTTTTTGGATTTCTCATCAACAGCCTCAACAGCCCATAAATTTCAAAAGCCAGTTTCTTTGTTACACTCCCACCACTTGAGGTGTGGACAGAGAGCAGGTACTTTCTCTGTCCATTCTTGAGCTAGTGTGCATAATTTAAAATGGCCATCCATGGAAAGGCGTCAGGGACCCTTTGGGAATCTATTTCTCTTGCCCAGAGAAAGGACAGTCACTGCCCCTTATCCTAGAGAAAAGCCACAGACTCGAAGGAGTAGAAGGGGGCATGTGCCCCTGCAAGTGCCACCCAAGGAGGTCTTACCACCCGCCAAAGGATAGGGTCCCTACCTTTTCCGCGCGGCCCGGAACCGCTGGCACCACCACTGCCCACAGCACAGGGCGCGTCCTTCCTGGGCCTCTTGCTCTGTGGCCGCACGCTGGACCTGAGGAAGTGGTGCTGGTCTTGGGGACTGCCCTGTGGTGGGGACGGCGTCGGTAACCCTCTGGGTGGCGCCGGGGCTCCTGCGGCCCGAGGGGTCTGCCCGTCCCTCTTTGTGCTGCTGCTGCTGCTGTCCTCCGCCGCGTCCGCGCCGCCGGGCCCCTCTCCGTCCAGCGACTCCTCATCGGCCGTCCGCTTGCCCAGCTTCTTGAGCCCTTCCTCCCCGCTGCCGGCGTCACCCAACTTCACTGTCATCCTGCGGCGGGAGAGGCGAGGAGCGGTGAGGAGGGCGACGGGCAGAAGTTTACCGCCGGCCTCCCAACATGGCGGCCGTTGTTTGTTCCAGCGCCGCCCGCCGCCCGCCCGAGGGCCCGCACAGTGCTGAGTCCGACCGGACCGGGACCCCGCCCCGCCCTTGGATGCCCCCAACCCAGGCTGGCTGACACGGCCCGGAGCCGTGGAAGGCACGGCGGCAAGGCCTGGCCTCAGCGCTAAGGGACCCACTGTCCCGCCACCTACCCCACGGCGATGCAGCTCATGGCCCAGCCTGGGCCCGCCTAGCTCCCCGCACAGCCCGTGGCCCCTGGCCTCCCCTCTGCTTGCTGGAGACGTGCGCGATCGTGCCGCGCACCTGCCCAGTGCAAAGGCCCGCTGCCCCTCGGAGCCCCCAGTGCTCCACGGGCCAAAGCTGCCGCTCCCTCCGAAGCTGGCATGCAAGAGAGAGACTGCACTCCGGGAACCTTCCCAGGCGGGAGATGGGAGATGGACCGACTACAACCACCCTCTTGCAACAAAGCCTGTTGCATGGAGCAGGTTAGGGAACACCGGAAAAGTGACAGCAAACACTATTATGTTCCAGTCGGATTTCAAGAATCGGAACTGAACTATGTAAACAATTCTGGAAACAACAAAATTCTTGCGTTAACTTCTACCACTGTCATAAAAATATCGATAAATAAAGTAACAATTATCTGCAGCCTGGAGAAGTTGCACTCAGAATAAACTAAAGATCAGGTACATTCCAACATCTTAAGCACGGGCTGTGTACGTGGTGAAGCAGGAAAGAGAAACATTGTGTTCTTCAGCAGACGCGACCCTAGGCTCCACACAACTGTTGAGAACATTCCTATTTAATAAAACTAGACAGAGCAAGGCACCAACGCTAACAAGGAAACAGACTGAGGGTAAAGACTGAGACGTAAAACTCGAAGTAACACCACAAAATGGTGCTGCAACAAATCGTGTGCAGTTTTCCTGTTGGGATCTGATCTTTCTAATACTGGCTTAAGAAAACTCTGGCACAGAATCACACAAGACAATACCCACGCTAAAGGATTTCATAGCACAGGACTTCTCCTCTTTGAATCCGTTCACTTCTAAGCACCTCACCCAGGTGCCCAGAACCCTGTCATTGCGCTAGGGAGTGAAACCCATTCCCAGAACCAGCCAGGCCAACGCCACCGAGTAAAACGCGTCAGTCCTACAGGACCCACTTGCCCCCGCGCCAGGCCGCGTCCCCGGGCGCATTCCGGTCGTTCCCCAGCAGCAGTGGACTCCATAGGAGTCCGTCAACGAAACCCGTCACTTCCTGACCGTGGGAGGCACGGGCACTGCGGGCCTCATCCAGGCTCCACACCCTTTGTCCCATTCCGGGTGGGAGAAGCTCGCACCTTCCTGAGGAGTTGACCGCCGGCTGCACAAAGCGCAGCCGGCGGCCAACACCGCGGCCCCTCCGCGGATCCCGTAGGCACCCGGGTGCAGCCTGCGGTCACCTTTTTCATCCACGCCTCCCGGCAGTCCGGATCCCGGATCCCGGGCCTCCGCGGGCGCCCGCAGAACCAACCGGGCCGGGCAGCTCCGGCTGCGGCGAGGCCGCGACGCCGGGCTGGTGGTCGTATGTCAGATGCGGTCGCCGAGCACCGTTCCCTTCGCACGTCCTCTCCGCTGACCGGCGTGCGGTTGACAGGGCTGAGGGCGCCGGGGCTGCCGCCGCTCGCCCTCCCACACCCGGGCCGCCGCGCTCCAAACAGTTCCGGCTACGGCGGCCGCCGGGGACCTGAAGTCAGCGCCGGAGCGGGGCGGGGCGGACGTCTTGCAAGAAGACGAGCACGTCCAATTTTTCTGCGGGCGCGCCCAACCAGCTGTGTTGTCATTGGTCAGCAGCGGTTGCGTGCGCGCGCGCGCACGGCCTGCCGGGGCGGGCCCGCAACGTGGGGCGTGTTGTGACTGCAACCTCGCGCTCTTGCGGATCGTGCGTCCCTTCTGATTGGCGAACCGACAACCAATAGGCTCAGCGTCCTGGCTGCGATTGGCTGTGGCTGTGTTGACGGATGCGTGAGAAGAAATCACCGCCTCAGCGGGACGTCTTGAAACGCGCGCGAACTCGGGTGGGGACGGGGCACTGAGAAAACAGGTTTAGGGCCATAAACATATCGTAGCATAGCCCACTGACACTTTTCCTCTTCGAAGCGATAAAGAAATGTTATTAGAAATTCTATTGCTTACGCAAGTGGCGTTTGAGAATGAGTATCCCCGTTCACAGGAGGTCCTGGCCTCTGGTTATCCCCTTCGCTCATTGGCGTGGACCGTGCTACTGCGCCTGCTCTCCGGCGACACCCGCCGTTGGCTAACACTGGCTGAAGTAAGTGCGCACGGTCGCCCAGGGTACCCCCTTCGTAGTCGCGAGGTTCTGCCGAGCACCAGTTTGCAGCTGGCTCCCGAGACGTCAACGCGCCACACTTGGGGGCGGCGTCCGGTACTCAGAACATCCCAGAGAAGCTCTCGAGCCGCGTCCTCCCATCCGAGGAGATGCAGCTAAGCTCCGAGAGGTGCCGGCTGATGGCCTCCGTAGAGGGGTGGGAAGGATGAACCCAAAGAGAAAATACCAGGAAACTTGGCACAGCTTGCCCTGAGTAGCAAATAGTTCTGGTCCATCCATCGGCAGGCAGCCCAAACTGTGGCCCTGGGGCGGGCCTAAGATTCGGAGCTGCGCGGAGAGGTACCGACTGTCTTCGGCTCTTTCCGCCGCCAGCCGCCAGTCGTTTCGGGAAGCATCGGAGACGCGGCGCTCTTCCTCGACGGCTTTTGCTTTCTTCCAGCGGCGTTGTCCTGGCAACACGGAGACACAGGGAATCTGGAGAAGTTAGATTCCTATAGCTGAGGTGCAGAGGGGGCTGGGGCTGGGGTAGGGAGCTCAGCCAGGCTTGGGATTGGGTGGGTCCTCCATGATCGGGCCGGGGGACCTGCCAGGACTCTCTTGATTGCTCTGTGAGTGTTGTCTCTTCACTGCGCAATCCCAGAACCCCCTGCTGATCTTTTGATTTGCCATGTGTGTTCCTCTGGATGCATTTAGTGCAAAGTAGGGGAAAGACAAGAAAGCCAAAATCCCGCGCTTAAGTCAGCCTTCGGATGGCTTGTAAAGATACCGTGACCTGACTTGGATCACTTTGAACTACACATCTTTTCAATAATGTTTACCTGATGCAGCCAGTGATCTTATTCTGGCCTAAAGGGTGGTCAGTGGTCACTACCCCTGAAAGTCTATTTAAGAACCCGTCCTGTGCCGGGCGGTGGTGGCACATGCCTTTAATCCCAGCACTCGGGAGGCAGAGCCAGGTGTACAAAGCGAGTTCCAGGACAGGCACCAAAACTACACAGAGAAACCATATCTCGAAAAAAGAAAAAAAAAAAAACGAAACAACGACAACAACAAAAAAGAGCCCATCCTATGTTTCTGACAGTGTCTCAAAGGGTGACTTTACTTGTTAGTATGATTCCTTGGCATAATGAGCCTAACAGATTCTTTTCAAAAAGTTGGCTTGATGGAGGCACTTAACCCTGAAAACAATTGATGACTGTAAAAATGAGGATAAATTAACTGGAAAAAGTGAGATTTCCCTTTTCTTGTTTTATGTCCTAGGTACTTGAAGATTGTTTTAATAGAAGAAAAGGTAAAACTTGTTCCTGAACTAAAGCTATTAACAGATTCTCGTTAAGTAACTTTTATTGTGAGCATCTGCCTTTTTAATTATATGGCCGATACTGTTTAAGAACTTAAGTGCTAGTGAAAGAGAGAATGAACTATTAAAACATTGTATAAAAATGGATGTATTGAAGGTAGCATGTAACCCCTTTTTAAAAAATAAGTTATTTTCCCTTTTTTGAGACAAGATCTCAATATGTAGCCTTGGCTGCCTGAAACTCACTATGTAGACCATACTGGCCTCAAACACATAAGGATCCTCCTGCCCCTTCTTCTTGAGTGCTGGGATTAAAAGCTTGTGCCACCATATTTGGCTTATTTTAATTTAATTTTATTTATTTATTTTTCTCTCTGTGTGTGTGTGTGTGTGTGTGTGTGTGTGTGTGTGTACACGTACACACACGTGCAAAGGCATCAGATCCCAGTTGTGAAGTTTCAGGCAGTTGTGAGCTGCCTGATGTGAGTTCTTCGAATTGAACTTAAGTTATCTGGAAGAGCACTATGCTGTCTTGACCATAGAGCCATCTTTCAAGCCCATTAACATTTCAAATTCAGCTTCTCTACAGTCACTGTGGCTTTGTGATCCTGACTGTCTGAACTGGAAGTCATAGCTCGATGACATTCTTGAGCTTTATGGTTTTACTGAAACTGAATGCTGTTTTTCTCCTTTTTCCCCCTGTACAGTATTTTTTTATGGGCAGTTTGCCTTTATTTTGTTTCAAAGTTTTCTGTGGTGATATACTGTGTACCCCAATAAAGCTTGCCTGAGGATCAAAAGACAGAGCCAGCCACTAGATTATACATAGAGGCCAGACGGTGACACACACCCTTAATCCAAATAGATCTCTATGAGTTCAAGGCCACACTGGAAACAGAGCCAGGCAGTGGTGACACACACCCTTAATCCCAGTACTGGGAAGCACACGCCTTTAATCACAGGAACTGAGGAAACAGGAACTAAGGCAGTTTAGCTGAGACCCTTTCAGATGAGGACTCAGAGGCTTTCAGTCTGAGGATTCATGGAAACAGGATCCGCTGAGGAGTTGGCGAGGTGAGGTTGGCTGTGGCTTGCTCTGCTTCTCTGATCTTTCAGCTTTCACCCCAATGTCTGGCTCTGGGTTTTTTATTAAAAGACCATCTAAGATTGGAACAACAGTTTTCTCTGAAGGTATCTGTAGAAATTGGAGTCGTGCGTATTGTGTCTGGAATGAGAAGTACCAAGAATTATTTGAAACCGTGGTTTCGGTGGTCACTTGCTTTCCTTCTCTTTTTAGTTATTTCTTTGATGGCAATGCATTTTACTTCTTTCCCAGCATACTGTGGGTCATTTCAAGTCCAATTCTTTGCTTCTAATTTTATATTTCTCCCCAGTAGAGATCTATAACAAATGAAACTGCCGGCATTAGTCTAGAGAACATTTTTAAGGTCTTGGTAGGTTTGTTTCTCTTTTGTGATTTTATATGAAGTTATTCTTGGTGGTTTTTTCCTCTCTGCAGGTTTCATCCCTGACCAGATCTATGCATCATCATGGCACTGTATTTTGACCACCGAATCAAAGCCCCAGATGCATCCAGATCTCCCTCTCTTATTACCTGGCACCCCACCCACCCATTCCTGGCAGTCGCATCCATAAGCCCATCTTCTGGAGGCACCGTAGATGTCTACCTTGAACAGGTGAGTCATCAGAGCCATTTTGACTTCAGCAGCCAGCTCTTGTGTTCTTTTCTTTTCTTGAGACGTGGAGGCCAGGAGTCGGGATAACTCTGCTCTAGATTTCTCCTCATTGGTTCTTCCTAAAGACCAATTATTCCCAATCATCAAAGCCTTCATGTGTTGCACGAATCCCAAATGGTCTTATAATAAAAGACCTGGAGCCAGCAGATATTGGGGTAAATGCTAAAAGATCAGAGAGACAAAGGAACAAGCCACAGCCACTTCTTACCCCACCAACTCCTCAGCCGATCTCCACGAGTCCTCAGACTGAATGCCTCTGAGTCCTCAGCCGAAAAGCTCTCTAATTTCTGTCTCCTCACGCCTTGTATACCTTTCTCTGCCCAGCCATTTCACTTCCTATCTCAGCCTTCCTAGTACTGGGATTAATGGCGTATATGCTTCTCAAATACTGGGATTAACGATGTGTGCCACCACTGCCTGGCTCTGTTTCTCTCCTAGACTAGATCAATCTCACGTAGCCCAGTGTGACCTTGAACTCACAGAGATCCAGAAAGATCTCTGCCTCTCAAGTGCTAGGATTAAAGGTGTGTGCTACCAGTGCCTGACCTCTATGTTTAACTCTGTGGCTGGCTCTGTCCTCTGATCTTCAGGCAAGTTTTATTAGAGTACAACAAAATATCACCACATTCATATATGGCAGTTCTTTTATCCCTGCCATATAGATTCAAGAGCATGCTTAAACCTGACCCCTGTGCTGTACATGCTTTCTTCAACTCTTCATGTTGGCCCTTTGAATTCTTTAGATTTATTTATTTTACATGCATGACTGTTTTGCCTGTTTGGGCGTCTGTGCACCAGGTGCATGTCTCCGAGGTCAGAAGGCAGCACTGGTACTGGAGTTATATAGATGGTTGTGAGCTGTCATGTTGTTGCTGGGAACCAAACCCAGGCCTTTAGCAAAGTCAGTAAGTACCCTGAACCCCTGAGCCATCTCTCCATCCCATGTTGACCCTTTCAAGCTGTACTAGTTTCCTATGGCTGCTATAACAAGTTATCACAAACTGGGTGTCTTCAAAGGATAGAAACTCCTTTTTTCACAGCTATAGAGGTCAGAATATAGAAGATTTGGACCTTGCTGGCCAACCAGCCTAGCTGAAGCAGTTAGATCTAGGTTCATATGAGAGAATCTATCTCAAAATAAGGTGAGCTGTCGAGATGACTCTGTGAGTAAAGGTGCTTGCTTCCAAGCCTGAGGACCTGAGTTCACCTACAGGACCCACATGAAGGAAGTAAAAAACTAATTCCCCCAAGTTGTCCTCTGTCTGACCTCCACACACATTATGGCACACACATGTGTTTACACATAAAGAAAGTAATTTTTTGTTGTTCTTTTTTTTTTTTTTTTTTTTTTTTTTGGTTTTTCGAGACAGGGTTTCTCTGTGTAGCTTTGCGCCTTTCCTGGAACTCACTTGGTAGTCCAGGCTGGCCTTGAACTCACAGAGATCCGCCTGGCTCTGCCTCCCGAGTGCTGGGATTAAAGGCGTGCGCCACCACCGCCCGGCTTGTTGTTCTTTTTGAGACAAGGTTTCTCTGGGTATCCCTGGGTATGGAACTCACTCTGTAGATGAGACTGGCCTCAGACTCAGAGATCAGCCTGCCCCTGCCTCCTGAGTGCTAGGATTAAAGACATGTGCCACCACTACCCAGCTTATAAGTAATTGTTTAAAAAAGATTCTATTTTTATTTTGTGTGTGTGAGTGTGCATGTATGCCAATACCCTTGTTTGCTAGAAGATATCAGATTATTGGAGCTGGAGTTAGAGATGATGTGGGTGTTGGGAACTGATCACGTCCTCTGGAAGAGCAGCAAGAACTCTTTAACTGCTGAACCATCTCTTCAGCTCCCAATAAATAATTTGTTAGTTAAAAATAATGGGGAGAGTGACTGAGGAAGATACCTATCTTCATTCTCTAGTCTCCACGGAGGCTGTATTCAAGTACATGCACATGTACACACGGAAGACCAGCTGTCACATCTCCTTATTAAATAGCTCTTCTGATCTTAAACTATCTGATATAAATTGTGTGTGTTAGACAGTTTCTTGATATACCTGCCACTGTCTACAATGGGAGATTTTACTTCTTGTCCCACATAGGGTGAGCCTGTGCCTGACACCCACATTGAAAGGTCCTTCCGAGTCACTTCACTATGCTGGCACCCAACAAGGCTTATCCTGGCTATTGGCTGGGAGACTGGAGAAGTGATAATGTTTAATAAGCAGGACAAGGAGCAGCACACAGTGCCCCTGCCACATACCACTGACATTGCCATCCTCAGCTGGAGTACCAGTGGGAGCTGCCTGGTATCTGGAGATAAGGTAAGAAGTACACAATCTCCATCCCCACCATGCACATAAGGATGCATGTGAACGGTGCTAAAGGCCAAGTTATTCTGTCTGTGTCTGCATGCTTTTATTATCAGTTTTAATAAGTTTTTCTAAGGCTTGTAATTTACCAGTAGCGGCTTTTTTTTAGGGCTTTTATTTTTAGTCAACTGTTCTAACACTTTATTATCAGTCACCTTTTACTCTCTTCATCCATAAATATTTCTAAAGCCTTTATCTTGTCAGTCAAAATTGTATTATTCTCCTTAGTAACTAATCATAAGGTTTGCATATTATCAGTCACTTTCTTGATCTCCTCAGTGGTAAATATTTCTAAAGCCTTCATCTTGTCAGTCAAAGCTGTCTTATTCTACTTAGTAACTATTTGTAAGGCTTGCATACCATGTTCTAACACCTGTATCTTTTCAATCTCTCATATCTGACACCATTATCAAACCATTTTTTTAAGGATAAGATATGAATTGCCAGACTAATAACAATTATGACCAAAGTTGTATTGATCCCAGCTAAGTTGTTTATCTACTCAGTTAGTTTTTCTAGCATCCTGTCCATAGTAGCAGTGAGCACAGTCTTAATGCCCTGCATTTTTTTTTTTTTTTTTTTTTTTGGTTTTTCGAGACAGGGTTTCTCTGTGTAGCTTTGCGCCTTTCCTGGAACTCACTTGGTAGTCCAGGCTGGCCTCGAACTCACGGAGATCCGCCTGGCTCTGCCTCCCGAGTGCTGGGATTAAAGGCGTGCGCCACCACCGCCCGGCATGCCCTGCATTTTAATATTCCCAGTCATTGACCTGGGAAAGGTTTTAAGATTGTCTTTTCCCGTTTTTATTTTCTTTTATTAATAGTTTACCGTTTAAAAGTTGTCAAGTGTCTTACTGCAGCTCAGATCCTCGGAGAACTGTTGTAAATGCAGTGATGATGTTTGACCAGCAAGTATAGCCAATGCTTGGATGGCTGGATCTTACAAAGGTAGTCAGATGTAGTGACCATGTTTGACCAGAAGATGGAGTAGGTGCGGCGCCACAGCAGCTCAGGCTCTGCACGCCCCAGCTACAACAGGCTCTGTTCCAGCTCTTGTTCCCTGAACAAAACTGGTTTGAAAGAACAGCTGTACACTGCACTAGATTGTACTCTAGCGCTTGCCTGCGCTGGGCTTGGGGAAGTAGCAGGGCACAGCGAAAATGCACAAGGCAGGTGTGCGGTTTTGGGGCGCGAGCAGGTCACCCCCAGGAGCAGGTTGACCTTGTGGGCTAGGCTTAGGGCCAGATAGGCACAGGCAGCCGTGGAGCGCCAGATAAAGAAGGAAGTCAGCGGAATGAGTTACGTTTTATTAATAGGCAAAATCTGTGCACAATAATTACAAGATAGGACAACGATCCAAACCTGGAGACCAGTTGCTATGTCGCCACTTATACCACTGCTTCTTCATTCTAATGGGGGATGGGGAATCTGAACCAAGCCACAGCCATTTGCTCCATGGCTTGTTGCCAGTTCGTCCACTTTCCAAGAAGGCGTCATCTCACCGCCCTGCATTTTTTTTGGGTCATGTACCCTCTAATAAAAACTCCATCCTCTGGGCCAAGCTGCTCCTTTCAATTGGCTAGGGGACCCGATGACAGAATTCCCATAACAGTCAGTGTCCTATTGTTGGGAAGAGACACCATGACCAAGGCAATTCTTATTAAATAAAACATTAGTGGGAGCTTGATTACAGTTTCAGAGGGAGAGTCCAGTGATTATCATGGTAGGAAGCAGACAGGTATGATGTTGCACAGTAGCTGAGAAGAGCTTTACCTCCTGACCTGCAGGCAGCAAGCAGAGAGAGACACTGGGCCTGGCATGGAATTTTGAAACTTCAAACCTCACTCCCAGCAACCTACTTCTTCAACAAGGCCACACGTCCAAATCCTTCTAATCCTTTTAATACAGTTCCGTTCCCTGGTGACTAAGCATTCAAACATGGGAGCTTATGGGGGCCATTCTCAATCAACCCACCACACTCCCCTAAACTTCAGGTCTTGGGTAGCCGAGAGAGAAATAGTACAGTGGGAAGCCTGTCAGTAATAGACTGCAACAAGATTGGGAAAGGTGCTCTGCCATCACGACAAGGTGTGAGAGCACTCGTATATGTGTGCTTGAGTGAGACGTGCCAGTGGGCAACCCCTGAAACTGCAGGTAGAGTTCGGCTGTAACCTCTTCGTTTACACAGTAGTCTCATAGTTCACATATTTATGTGGCCCTTGGATATATTTTTTTCCTGGACTTGACACTAGAAAAAGCTCACAAGTTCATTGACTTCTCCCTACATAGAGCTTAGCAGCACCCTCACTAAGGACTCTATGACTATCAAGGCCAGTGTCCACGTGATGCCAGAGGAGCCTTAGCACGTACCCTACATGTTGTTGACACTAACATGTCTACCTTTTCTCTTCCTGTGTGCACTTTTTTCCTGCATATTTGCAAATTCACAGATACTGTGATGCTTGACTTCTAAGTACACCTGGCACCTAACTTTCAGACATCTCCCACATCACTACTAAGTTTCTGTCACATTCAGGAAACTGAACATTGATACAGTACCGTTACCCTATAGGCAATGCATATTAAAATTTCTCTTATCTGGACTGGGAAAATAAAGTTTTTGCCATGTAAACATGAGGATCAGAATTTGGATCATCAGCTGCCTGACAGTGGTGGTGCACACCTTTAATTCCAGCACTTAGAAAGCAGAGGTAGGCAGAGCTCTGAGTTCAAAGCCAGCCTGGTCTATATAGTGAGTTCCAGGACAACCAGGGATACACAGAGAGACCCTATCTTGGGGGGTAAACAAAAGAATTCGGATCATCAGAATGCATGTAAAAGCCAGGTAGGTGTGTCATCTGCTGTAATCCCAGCACTCAGGAGGCCGAGCAAGTGTTAGCTAAACTAGCTGGACTCAGCAAGCTTTGAGTCCAGCTAGTTTTGGCTAATGAGAGACCCTACCTCATTAAATAAATTGAAGCACAACTGAGGAAGATATCCAACATCAACTTCAGGCCTCTACACATAACACTTGTGCCCACATCCATGTGAACATGCATATGCACACATGCACACAACACACACATACGCCTCCCCAAAGGTTTGCCACTTGTTGCAGTAACGTCCTTTATAGCTGTCTTCCTGTGTGTTCTGACTCAAGGGACTTAGCTCACACCTTCCTGTGTTCTGCCTGCATATGTTCCTGCAGGCCAGAAGAGAATACCAGCTCTCATTATAGATGGTTGTGAGCCACCACGTGGTTGCTGGAATTGAACTCAGGACCTCTGGGAGAACAATCAGTGCTCTTAACCACTAAGCCATCTTCCATCCCCTAAAAGCAGTTTCTTGAAAGATAAATGTGTAGCATCTTGGTAGTTCTGTAAAGTCTATTTCTCTAGCTCTTGAGGATGAGTGTCATTTCTAGGGATCATTTCTATTTTTTTTTATTCTTCTCTCATACAATACATCCAGACCACAGTTTCCCTCCCTCCACTCCTCCTAGTCCTCTCACCCACCCCTGCTCCCCCAGATCCACTCCTCCTCCATTTCCCTTCAGAAACGAGCAGACCTCCCAGGGATATCCACTAAACACAGCATAGTAAGATACAGAAAGACTGGGCACAAACCCTCATATCAGGGTTAGGCAAGGCAATCCAGAAGAAGGAAAAGGGTCCCAAGGACAGTTAAAAGAGTCAGAGACACCCCCACTCCCACTGTTAGTAGTTCTACAAGAACACCAAGCTAACAACCATGATATATTTGCAGAGGACCTAGTGTACACCTCCGCAGGTTCCACAATTGAGGTTTCAGTCTCTGTGTGTCCCTGTGAGCCCTGCTTAGTTGATTCTGTGGGCCATGTTCTTGTGGTATCCTTGACCATTCTGACTCCCCCTTTTCCTTGTTTCAAGGGGTTCCTCCGAATTCCAAGGGAAGAGACCGACGGAGATCTCCAATTTGGGCTCTCTCTGTACCTAATGTTTCATTTGCCCATTTTTTATTGGGTTTTTCCTTTTTCAAAATTTTTGTTTGTTTATTTTTACATCCCAACCAAAGCTTCCCCTCCCTCCTCTCTTCCCAGTCCCTCCCCCAGCCTCCCATCCACTCCTCCTCCTCTGTTTCTCTTCAGAAAACAATGGGCCTCCCATGGATATCAGCCAGCCGTGGTATATCAAGTTGTAGTGAGACTAGGCACCTCCTCTTCTATTAAGGCTGGATGAGGCAAACTGGTAGGAGGAATGGGTCCCAAAAGCTGGCAACAGTCAGAGATAGCCCCTGCTCCCACTGTTAGAGTCTCACAAGAAGACCAAGCTACACAGCTGTAACATATGCAGAGGGCCTAGGTCAGTCCCATGCAGGCTCCCTGGTTGTTGGTTCAGTCTCTAGGAGCCCCTCTGAACCCAGGTTAGTTGGTTCTGTGGGTTTTCTTGTGGTGCCCTTGACCCCACTGGCTTCTACAATCCTTCCTCCCCCTCTCCCACAGGATTTCCCCAAGCTCTGCCTCTTGTTTGGCTGTATGTCTCTGCATCTGTTTCATCAGTTGCTGGGTGAAGCCTCTCTGATGACATTTGGGCTAGGCACCAATCTATGAGTACAGCAGAATATCATTAATGAGCTTTCCACCTTCATATTATGAAATAGTCTGACAGTCTCCTGTGAGATAGAATAATTCAGAATCATTACATTTCATCATCCTCATCTTGACAAAATCAAGAAACAACTAACCAAACAGATTATGCAGGCATAAAATGAAACTCAGGTGTGAGCTAAGTCCCTTGAGTCAGAACATTTAAGAAAAGAAATGTTTAATCCTTCTCAGAAAATCTAACGTTGTGCTGGAACTAATTTAATTATGAGCTAAAGCAGGAAGATCGGTATAAAGAGTGAGCAAACCGCTCACCAGGCTTGAGCCCAGCAACTTCTCCACTCTTCCACAAACACCCCTGTTGTGCTCACCAAGGGAAGCAACCGAGACCAGCTGAAGGCAGAAAATATATACTTAATCTGGGGCCAGCAGGCTGTCCTATTCACTGGGCAAAAGCCCAGCATTTCGGGAAGAAAGACCTTCCTTCCCTTCTCTGTCCCAAATCCAGAGGCCACTTCACCCCAGCACCTCATGTGTACCAGTCAATAGCATCTGAGCAAGGGACTATCCCCAGAAAGAAATATCTCCAGGGATCTCACTGAATGTGTATTAGAAATCCTGTTGCTCTAGAAGAGCCTAGAATGCCATCATACAGGCCAGGCCATTTGTCTTCTCCCAGTATCTCTTGCAGAGGCCAGTATGAAGGTTAAGGAGACCTACACCCCAACATGTGGCCAGCTAGTCTTTAATCAAGCTTTTCAGGGGTGTGCTATTAGAATGTAGCGCACCACTCACATTCTCCAGTCAGTTCAACCAGTTGTGATGGAGTCTTTTCCTCCCACGTCTAGACTTCTCTGGCACTTAGGATGTAATTGATCTGAGCTTCTGGTGACTTCCAGATTGAACACAGCGTTTCCCAAGCGTTTGGACTTGAGTTTTCAGTGCTTCCTGTAATGAAAGAACCAGGACTCCCGGGAGTCACATCAAAAGGCCTCAGGGCAACTGGAAATGCCCCCAGTGGTCAGAGCTAGAAAAGTCTGAGCAACAGAGTTTAACAGCATGTAGATTATAACCAAAGCAGGAAATACATACTTAAGAGTCCATGCTGATATAAACATGCTTATCAGTAAACAAATAATGGGAAAGAAACAAATTCCTTATGCTGAAGAATACCAAATAATTTATGTAGCTACTTCGTCCTTGAGGAAGTATAATGTTGACTCCCACCCCTTAAATGAGAAATGCACACTGCATCCTTCTTTCTCAGGAGTACAGCATAGAAAGAAAGGGAGGAAAAGGAGCCACTTTACAATGTATAAAAGCTACCTCTACAAGGTGTCATGGTCAACATCACAGTGATGAGTTGTGTTTGTAGTAGGACCTGCTTCTCTGATCCTCCCCCAACAGATCTATAACCCCAATCCAGCTATGGGGAAAACGTCAGATAGATCCCAGTGGAGCAGTGCCCTACACTGCTCCTGAGCAGCACCTTAGTACTAAGCAAATGGAATGTTGAGGAAATCACTGCCCACAGGAGCCTAAGAAGATAGGACAGCTAATGTCATGTGGAATCCTGTTAGGCTCCTGGGACAGAAAAGGGATAGTAAGGGAAGCTGAAGAACTCTGAATAAAGTAGTGTGGACTCAGTTGGTAGTGATAAAAATATTAGCTCATTAATTTCCAGGCAAGTGTTTCCTCTCCTACCCCCCCCCCCCCCCCCCGCCCAGAAGTGCTAGAGACTGAATTCAGAGCTTGTGTACTAAGAATAAGAAAGCACTCTACTGCTGACCTGTATCCCAAGCCCTAGCTCATTAACTCTAAGAAATGTACCATACAATACAGTAGTAGGGAAACTGGAGTCATCTATAGGAGCTCTGTACTGTAAACCAAAATCTGTTCTAAAGTTAGCAGTTCATTCTAAGCGCATGACAGCTGCTCTCTCTAGGACTGAGGAAGAGGAGGGGCCACAGAGGAGAGTTGTGGTTCTAGAAATACTTTTGAATAGTATGGCATTTCCATGGTGCACATGTAGTACAGTAATGTTTTTTAACAAGGAATCGCCAATGTTGTGCCTCTCCATTTATTGTTTACCTCCAATCAGTGGTCCTGTAAGAATGTGTCCTTATACACGTTGTTGGCCCCCTGCAGCTTGGAGTCCTGCTCTTGTGGAGACTGGACCAGCGGGGCCGAGTACAGGGGACTCCACTCCTGAAACACGAATACGGGAAGCCACTCACCCATTGCATCTTCCGGCTCCCCCCGCCTGGAGAGTAAGTATGAAGCCCCACTGGGTCTGGCTTGTCTCTCCCTTCATCCTGGGGGTGGGCTGTATGGCTCCTGACCCAGATGGACCCAGCCCCAAGTCATTCTAGAAGTTTTGACTGCTGTGTCCTTTACTCTCAGGAATCTGGTTCAGTTGGCAAAGGCAGCAGTAAGTGGTGATGAGAAAGCCCTGGACATGTTTAACTGGAGAAAAAGCAGCTTTGGAAGTTTCCTGAAGACGGGGTCTCAAGAGGGGCTGTCTTTCTTTGTCAGTCTGATGGATGGTGAGCAACTTGGGATGTAATTGTGGGAACCAAAGAGATTTTACTTTAGGCTGACAGTAGTGCTTCTGTGTGAAATGAAGACAGGCTACAGGACACATCTCTTTGGATGCTGGGCTCCCTGAAGATGTCCTCCTGCTTAGATGGCGCTGTGCTTGCTCTCGAAGAAATGAGGACAGGCCATCTTAATTTGTTTTGGAGCGTTTTCCTCAAGAAGTTTTGTTATTGTTTATTTTTTTGTTTTGTTTTGAGATAGGGTCTCACTATGTAGCCTAGGCTTGCCTCAAATTCATGATCTTCCTTCTGCCACAGTCTCCTAAATATTGGGACTATAGGCATACACCATTATCTATGCCCAGCTCATCAAGACACTTTTAGGATTTTTGTCTGGTTGATGGGTTGATTAATTTTTTTCATTGGTATTGTTTTCGTTTAGGGGTTTGTTTGGGGTTTTGTTGTTGGTTTTTGTTTTTTTGTTTGTTTGTTTGTTTTTGAGACAAGGTCTTACTGCATACCCCTGGCAGGCCTAGAACATGCTATGTAGACCAGACTATGTAGACTTGCCTCTGCCTCCAAAGTGCTGGGATTAAAGGTGTGTGCCACCAAGCCTGCCCTCATGGAGGGTTTTGGTTTTGTTTGTTTGTTTATTTCTTTTTTTCTTTGAGACAGGGTTTCTCTGTGTAGCCTTGGCTATCCTGAAACTCACTCTGTAGATCAGGCTGACCTTGAACTCACAGAGTTCTGCCTCCCGTGCTTCCCCTGTTATTCAGTCTGCATAATTATCAAGTACTTGCTGTATGCTAGATGTGTTTCAGGTTCTTGAGAATGAAGCATAAGCAGGACAATGACAGTTTGCCCTTGTAACCTGCAGCTAGCCCTCCCTCACAGAGGCTACTATTAAGCACCTGTTGATTATATGTTTACCTATTTTGCGGTTTTGTTTTTGCCTAGTCTGATCTTCAACTCTTGGAACCCTCCTACCTCAGCTTCCTGAGTGCTGAGATTATAGCTATACCACCATGCTGTCAGTTGATTTTAACATCACTTGTTCTCAGGAAAAGCAGGAGACACACTTTACTGCCAGGACTGAACAAATACATTCTGAAGCTAATGAGAAACCGTGATAGTCAGGTGTGGTACCTGGCCGAGCCCAAGAAATGAGAGCCACAGGAGGTGGCTGGGTTTGAGAAGGGAGGCTGCTGATGTTGGAAAAGATCACAGGTTTATAATTTCTGGATAGGAGAGACCTTTCATTTTAGAGGACAAAGAGATAGAGCCAGTGGAGAGGGACAGTTGAGGAAGTCCCGGAGGGAATACCCAAGCGGGTGCGTCACCAAGGGGCAGGGGGAGGTATAGGAAGGAGAGCTGAGGGGAAGGAGTGATGCTGGCAGCCTGCAAGAGGCTGTATACAGAGTTATGGAGGATCTAGATCTAGATCGCTGCCTAGCCCCCAAGATGTGCTTTAATTTCCCTCTGTGGAAGATGGGGATTATATTAGTGTCTACTGTCCTGTTGTCTCATGACCCTGCTCCATGATCTCTGCTTATTAAATACTAAAATGGTTAAAATTAACTTAGATGACTTCGAACTTTCCATTTAATGAGAACTCAAGTTATCCATGGAGAATAAGATGAGACCAGAGGACAAGAAGGTCCTTGTGGAGGCTCTTGAAGAACTTCAGGAATGAGCCAAAGAATCCCTGGAACTCACTGATCACTCAGACACCTAAGAAGAAACCAAGGAGGCAGAGCAGATGGTGCTGGCCAGTGTTGAAGCGGTTGTTCAGGGCAGGGCAGGAAGAGGAGTCTGTGTGGGGAGAAGAGATGCTGTAGTACCACTGCCTCCTGAAGTTCAGATGCTAAGGAGCTGGGGAGGACAAAAGAGGGAAGGTGAGAGAGAGCCAGGCTGGATGGCAATGATACAGCCAATGACATGAGACCTGAGGGCCGAGAGAAGAGTCATCGTTTAGGGTCTCAGGATAGGGAGGGTACAAATACCCCTAAAGGCTGGAGAAATGGCTCAGTGATTGAGAATTCCGGCTGCTCTTCCAGAGGACTCCAGTTCAACTCCCAGAACCCACATGGTAGCTCACACCCATTTAGAACTCCAGTCCCAGGGGAATCTGACGGCCTCTCTGGGCACTGCATGCCTGTGGTACACATACATATATGCCAGCAAAACAGCCATACACATAAAATAAAGATAAATAAATAAAAACAAAATGAAAAAATACACCTAAAGATAGTGAACACAGATGATGGAACAGTTAGATAGAAGGCTACAGACTCAGATGGGCTGGATACTAATTATGTCATCCAGGAGAGTAGTGGGGAAAGAATCTAGAGACAGCTATCCTGGCCAGTAAAGCAGAGATCATACCAGAGATGGTAGCCTGAGAAACATTGTGGCAAATGTCTTAAGTTCTTATAAAGATGATAGACCTTTTATCAGAGCATCCCTAAGTAGATAGAAACTGTTGCTCATGGGTACCATGGAAAGACTGATGAGCATGCCGGGTAGCGGTGGCACACACCTTTAATCCCAGCACTTAGGTGGCAGAGGCAGGTGGATCTCTGTGAGTTCGAGGCCAGCCTGGTCTACAGAGCGAGATCCAGGACAGGCACCAAAGCTACACAGAGAAACCCTGTCTTGGGGGGGAAAAAAAAAAAAAGACCAATGAGCCAGGAGCCACCTCTTTCCCCAGGGACAGTGCACTATGTGGATGAAAAAGGCAAGACTGCCCAGGTGGCGTCCACAGATAGCTCCGTCCAGATGCTGTTCTACATTGAGAAGAGAGAAGCACTGGTTGTGGTTACCCAGAACCTCTTGCTGTCTTTGTATGTGGTGACTCCTGAGGGGGAAGCTGAAGAAGTGATGAAGGTAGGTGAAAGCAGTGCTGGACTAGCCGGCCTACTGGATTGTGCTAAGGACCTGGGAGTCTTGCCTGTTTTGACTGTCTTTTCTATCTTGGTTAGCAAGACTGAAGAGCTGTCCTTGCTTAGAAGAGCAGCTAGCCTAGCTGTTCAGTGTCACTTCTTACTCTGGGCTATTGAGTATAAGTGAGGAACATGAAAGATTTTCCAGTATCTCTGAACAGGTGTGGGTAAGATCAGGGTTACCTAGGCTTCTAGTCTGTGCCCTTCTCAATTAGAGAATTCCCCTTCAGCATCCCATTGGACTTCCACACAGAGTTGGATAGAACAGGAGACATTGTCCCCACTTTGCAGCTATATGAAAGTGCTCTAAGGAGGCTCACTTACTGTCCCAGAGCTGGGGGTGGCATTGCCCGGTGTCTATTACAGTGGCAGTTCTGTACCATATTCTTTCACATCTGCTGTTTGCCACCATAGGTGTTTACTTTGTTTTATGCAGTGAACAAATGTTAGTTACCTTGGCTGAACTGTAATGTTAAGATGCCAGGATGTCCATGAAAGACAGCTGTGTTGTAGCCCTGAGACCCTCTGCACGTTTAAGAGGCCCACTGGAGGGCTGGAGAGATGGCTCAGAGGTTAAGAGCACTGGCTGTTCTTCCTGTGGTACTGAGTTCAATTCCCGGCAACCACATGGTGGCTCTCAACCATCTGTAATGAGATCTGGTGCCCTCTTCTGGAGGGCAGGGGTACATGCAGACAGAGCATTGTATACATAATAAATAAATCTTTGAAAAAAAAAAAAAAAGAGGCCCACAGGAAAGGCGTCCGTTGCCACATGCTCCTAGATAAAGGTCACTTGTACACCCTGTACAGTTCATTTAAGAGCCCTGTTGCTTGCTGCCCCTATTCATCTTTTGCTCCTCTTTTCTTTCTTTCTTTTTTTTTTTAAGTATGTGTAGGTGTTTTGCTTGCATGTATGTCTCTATACCAAAAGATGCTTGGTGCCCATGGAGGCCAGAAGAGGGTGTTGGATCCCGTGAAACTGGAGTGGGCCATCATGTGGGTCCGGGCAGTTGAACCCAAGTCCTTTGGAAGAGCAGTCAGTGCTCTTAAATATTGAGCCATCTCTCCAACCCTTTTTTATCAGTTTTCTTTTGGTTTGGGGGCTTTTGTTTGTTTGTTTGTTTGTTTGTTTTTTGGTTTTTCGAGATAGGGTTCCTCTGTGTAGCCCTGGCTGTCCTGGATCTCACTCTGTAGACCAGGCTGGCCTCAAACTCACAGAGCTCTGCCTGCCTCTGCCTCCTGAGTGCTGGCATTAAAGGCATGCACCACCGCCCCCAGCATATTTTTTGTTTCTTTGAGACAAGGTCTCATGTTTCCACCTTGGCCTGGAACTTGCTATATAGCCAAGACTGTCCTTGAACTTCTGATCGTCCTGCCTTAGTCTCTTTAATTCTGGGATTATAGGGGTGAGCCAGAATGCCCAGCTGGTCCCGATTTATAAGAATCCATGAACCGTAGAGAATGCTGAGCTTTCCCTAATGATACTCCTCTAGGTTGGAGAGTTCATTGTGTCCTATAACAGCAGTTGTGAATAGTCCTGGAATGTCATGGGCAAAGTGTCTTAGTCAGCTTGAGCCAACTTCACAAATAACCACTCACTAGATAGTTTAACAACAGACATTTCACTCACAGTTCTGGAATCAGGAAGTCCAAATAGGCTACAGCCAGTTCAGTTCTTGCTGAGGGATCGATTTCTGGATTACATAGAATGGCCTCCCTGTGTCCTTCCATGGAGTCTGGAGAGGTGGAGGAAGAGAACAGATGAGCTTGAGGGAAAATGAGAGCATGCACTCTCTGCTCCATCTGTTCTTGGGGCCAGACTCCAGCATCCTCCCTTAATTACCTGCTGAAGGCCCTTTGTGTCCGTATCATCACCTAGGTAGTTGGTGCTTCAACATATGAACGGGTTGGGGAGGAGACAGCTCATAGCACCTTGCTTCAGGTACCTGACTAGCTCTGTCCTGGTTGTTGGACTCTGGGAAAGTCTGTTTTCTGCACAAACTGGGGATGGGAGACCGTCCCTAAAGTATAGTCATGACAGAGCAAGGAGTGTTTAGTATTCAGTATAGAAATGCCCACCATGCACTAGGTCAGACATCTCTTCATGTGTAAGTTGCTGTTTGCTTCAGCCCATACATCTTTTTCCTAATTTTTTTAGAATTTTTATTTTATTTTATGTGTATGTGTTTTGCTTGCACACATGTCTGTGTACTCTGAGTGTGCCTAGTGCCCACTGAGGCCAAAAGAGGTTGTTGGATCCCTTGAGACTGGAGTTACAAACAGTGGTGAACAGCCATGTGAGTACTGGGAATCAAACCCTGGTCCTCTGGAAGAGCAGCAAGTGCTCTTAAACTGAGTCATCCCTCCAGCCCAACCCCTTAAATATAAGGCCAACTCTCCATTTCCCCCATTTGCCTTGTGTTGTGACCCCTTGGTGAGTCTCAGTGATGTCACTGAAGACCAGATGCCAGGCTAACATAGTTTCATCAGGCATCTCAGCAAGAGCCTTGTGCTTCTTTCAAGTTGCCTTTTTCCCCATACAGGTAAAGTTGAGTGGGAAACCAGGCCGCCGGGCAGATATCACTTTGATAGAGGGTAGCCTTCTTGTCACAGCCATCGGAGAACCAGTGCTCAGGTGAGAGCTTGTCTTCCTGTGCAGATCCCTGGAAAATCCTGTCTGGAACAGACTCTTTAATATACCCAGGGATAATGCACCTTGGATGAACTTTCACATATTAGACAGGTCTATGAAACTAAACAGTGGAGGCCCCAGGCCCCTTCTCTAACTATTCTTCCTGCTTTCCCCCATGCCTTCAGGCAGCATGACTATATCACATCTGCCCTTGGAATCACTTTCCCTGGTTTGGGAGAAATTTGTTTTTGATACAGGGTCTTGATGCTACTGTTTATACTGGTGTCCAGCTTCTGGGCTCAAACAATGCTCCTGCCTCAGCCTCTCAAGTAACTAGGACTATAGATACACACTGCCAAACCTAGTTCTGCATAGTTTCTTAAGTTTGGCATAAATAGAAACAGGCATTTTGGTATCTTTTTGGCCACATAATGTTCACTGTTACTGTGTGTAGCTGGGATTCCTGTGTTCTCTTCTTCCTCTCTGCCACATGTAAACTATCCTTTACTAGCCACCCTTGTTAATTGTAAACAGTATAACATCAGGTTTCTTTATTGTAGTAGGAGTCTAGGGCACAGCTCTGAGTTTTCTTCCCAAGCTGGATACAGCCCTCAGGTCAGAGGAGGACACTAATGCAACCCTTCACGGGGCTTTCCTCTGTCTGTTGCAGATTCTGGGACTTAGAACGAGGAGAGAATTACATCCTGAGCCCACAGGAGAAGTTTGGCTTCGAAAAAGGAGAGAGCATAAACTGTGCTTGTTTCTGTAAAGCCAAAGGTGAGGTTTCTTGACCTGACATGAAAAGAATAGAGAAAACTTTAAGCATTGTGTCAGGGAAGAAAAGTTACAGTGAGACTTAGAGCCTATTCAAAAATGGAAGCTGGGTACAGTGGCACAGACCTTTAATCCCAGTACTCGGAAGGCAGAGGCAGGTGGATCTCTGTGAGTTCAAGGCCAACCTGGTCTATATTGTGAGTTCCAGGCCAGCCAAGGCTACATAGTGAGGTACTGTCTTTAAAGAAAGTAACTAAGTTGTTATGATCAGTCAGTCAAAGATGAACAAGTGGCAGTAAAGCCTTATTTCACACAGTGTTTAAAAGGTTTGACCAAAACAGTAACACTGGCATTACATACATCGATGCCTGGACCTTGGGTGGTATGGCTAAGTGTTTGTGCACTAGGGAAAGTATACAAATGCATGAGTGTGCAAATACCAAGACAGGAAGTAGGAGAAGAGTCGGAGTGTCACTGAGTTCGCCCCTGCTGAGTGTTCAGCACTGGTGCAGCACTGGATTAGCAGCCTGAGTAAGGCAGATGGAAACAAAAAACAGCATCCCCAGCATCTTTCAAGTCTTTTTCAACAAGTAACCTGTGCTTTGCTTTTACCTGTAGGTCTCCTGGCTGCTGGGACCAATAAAGGACGAGTAGCCTTGTGGAAAAAAATGCCGAATTCCCCAAATGGCAGAGGGGTGGAGGGCAGGGACATGTGGGCCCTTCAAACACCGACTGAGCTTGAAGGAAACATCACACAAATAAAGGTACAGTATACAGCTCTGTAGCACATTTGGTGCACTCATTGTCTGCTGTACCAAACAGAGAACATAATTAACTTGTTTAAAAAAAATTAATCCTTTTTTAATCAGTTATTCAATTTAGCACCAGAAAAATAATACTAAAAAGAAATTATATAGATGTGTAATCCCAATACTTAGGAACCTGAGGCATGAGGCCAGCCGGAGTTGTATGGGGGTGGTAGCACACGCCTTTAATCCCAACATTTGTGAGGCAGAGGCAGGCAGATCTCTGAGTTTGAGGCCAGCCTGGTCTACCCAGAGAAAACTCTGTCTGGGGGTGGTGGGGAGGGAAAGTATTTGTCAGGTATGGTGATGCATGCCTATAGTCCCAGCTACTTGGAAGGCTGAGGCAGGACAGTCAGTGAACTCACAAGTTTGAGGAAAGCCTGGGCAACATAATGAGAGAGCCTGTCTTTTAAGAAATGAAAAGAGAACCGGGCAGTGGTGGTGCACACCTTTAATCCCAGAACTCAGGGGAGGCAGAGGCAGATCTGAGTTCCAGGACAGCCAGGGCTACACACAGAAACCCTGTCTCAAAAAACCAAAGAAGGAGGAGGAGGAGGAAGAAGAAAGAAGAGAATAGATTTGAAATATCTTTTGAGTTTCAGTATTGCAGATAAGGGATTGTGGGTGTATATTAATATCTGTCAATCTATATACTAAGTTCTCTGTCTCTACCTATATATATTCATATATAAATATGTTTAAAACAGCTTCATTAATATACAAGTTACATATCCAGTGGTTTTTAGTATATTCACTGAGTTTTGCCAGCCTTCACCACAATATTTTTTTCTTCACAACAAACCTTAAAACATTTTAGTTGCTCTAAAAAGAGATGCACACCCTCCTCCACTTCTCCTTTTCCCAGCCCTCCACAGCCAGTAATACATTTTGTAACTCTGGATGTGTCTGCTCTGGACATTTCATAAAAAAAAGAAGCAACCAGCCAGGCATAGTGGCGCACACCTTTAATCCCAGCACTCAGGAGGCAGAGGCAGGTGGGTCTCTGAGAGTTCAAGACAGCAGGTGCTGTGAAGAGAGCCCTGTCTTTAAAACCTTGTCTCCTGGAGGAGTGTGGATTGAGGTGGAGAGGGCAGAGGAGAGGAGGGGTGGGAAACTTCTGTCGGGATGTAAAATAAATAAATTTAGTAAAAAAAAGAAAGAATAAAAACTAAACAAATAGAAGCATATAAAACCCAGTCTTTGTGCTTTTGTCCCCTGACATCTCATGTCACAGCGGGTATCAGTGCTCCCGTTTTATGGCTGACGTCCCTGTTGCATGGGTAGACCACAGTTTTCTGCTGATGGGCATTTGGGCTGATTCAGCTTTGGAGCGGTTATAAATGAAGCTGCTGTTAACGGGTGTGCAGGTTTTTGTATAGACATTGGCTTCATTTCTTGGGAGTATTTTGTGTTTAATTTGTCACTTGTTAACACTGTGTCTGATGAGACAGAATCATCATACCTTCTAGTATTGCAGTAGGATGCTTATGATAATGACCATATTTATTACAGCCTCTTTGAAGTCTTGACTGAGTCCAGCATCATCTGGATCATCTCACAGCTACTTCTGATACCTCCTTTTGGGCTATATTCTGATCTTTTTTTTGTCTTTTTTTTCAGAGCTCAGGACTGAACCCAGGGCCTTGTGCTTGCTAGGCAAGCGCTCTACCACTGAGCTAAATCCCCAACCCCTATATTCTGATCTTTTACATGGCTCTTAATTAGTTGTGAGAACTGGGCATTTCGCGTTGACTTAAAGCTAGGAAACTAACATTTCTTTCTCACAGCAAAAGAAAGCTGGATAATTTAATGATATAATTTACCTATAAATTCATATAAAATAAGAAATATGAATATGTCATAATCAGAATGGCAAATTCCTAGCAGATGCCCTGCAGTTAGAGCAGACCCTGGGTAGAACAGCCACACAGGTGTCTGCCTGCCAGTTCATAGCTCAAGTCGATCAGTATTTTAAATAACAAGAAGCAGCTTATAGACTCTCATCGGGAGTGTTTATATACTTCCTGACGGTCTCTCCTGTTTATGCATTTGATTCTCCCCACATGGTACTGAAGTGGGGCTCCAGGAAGAACCTTCTGGCAGTGAGCAGCGTCAACTCTGTGTCCATCCTGAGTGAGCAAGCCATGTCATCGCACTTTCACCAGCAAGTAGCTGCTGTGCAGATCTCCCCAAGCTTAGTCAATGTGTCTTTCCTGTCCACGGGGAGCACACACAGTCTGCATACTGACATGCACATCACTGGAGTGTTCGCTACCAAGGTGACTACCAAGAGTGGGCTGTGGGTATTAGACAAGGGTCTTGAATGTAGCCAAAAGAACTGACTGCTGGGTCATTAGGGTAATTCAGGACAGCAAGGGGACTTGATGACAGCTTAAGCCATCCTGGATGTCCATGTGTGTCATACTTAGAAAAAAAAATACTAAAAACCCACAGGCATTTTAGGTCTAACGTGCATCCATGGACCACTCGGTGAGCTGAAGCTGGGCTGATGGCATGGCAACACTCAGTGATGAAGGAAGAGGGCAGGCTTCGGGAACATGTAGTGGGTCTGTGGTCTGCACTTTACTCTTCCTTATCTCTGCTTTTGGACATCCATGTTCATTTTAGGATGCTGTGGCTGTCTGGAATGGAAAACAGGTGGCAGTCTTTGAACCTTCAGGATCTACCTTAAGGAATGCAGGTTAGAATTGCTTCACCTTCTGATGCAGAGTAGGGGGGTTAGCACAGAGCTAGCAAGATCCTCACGCCAGCTCTCATTCCTGTGCCTGAATTCCTAGAGCCAGGGCTTCCTGGACTGCATCCTGTGAAGTGGTCAAGGTATTTCAGCAGTATAATGAGGCTCTGCACCAGCAAATCCTCCTGGGCTGCAGAACTGCTAACAAGGCTGCAGGAGCATAAGCAATTTGGTTCCTTCTAAGGAAGGGAGCTATTGCACAGTGTCCTGTAAAATGACTGTAAGCCAGCCATAGCTATGAGCCACAGGTGAATCTTCACATGATCAATCAGTCTCAAAGCTGAGCTCTGCATTACACCAATTTCTCCAGCTTTCTCTGTTTAATTTGGCTACCTCTGCCTTCCACACACATATATGAGTTTCATAGTGCTGCTATAGCACCATGATGGTTTAAAATCACAGGAATTTATTCTCTATGGTTTCAAAGGCCAGAAAAACAAAATCTAGCAAACAGGGCCATATCCCCTTGATCCTCAAGGGGAAAGTCCATTCTTTGATTCTTCTAGCTTCTGGCTACTGCAGTCTTTGGTTTATGGTCACAGAGCTCATCTTTGGTTGTGTTGCCACATTGACCCTGTTATCAATCCCTCCTCACAAGGACACCTGTAACTATGTTTTGAGCCTCTCTGGACAGTCCAGAATAACCTCCCCTCTGAGGCTTTAGCATCTAGTGTCCTATATAGTAGTCTTGACAAACTTTGAGATTCAGAGCACAGACCTTCTGGCACTGTCTTACAGCCTCCTGAATTCCTGAGCCTTTGGGATGTGACTCTCTTCTCCTCTAACTTGCCTGTAAAGCCTTCTTGACCTTACCCTCTCTACCTCTGAGACCTCTTAACTCTTAGGAAGCTGACCATGCTGCTGTCCACTGGTCATCACTTCACTTCCTCATTTCTTTTCCACTCCCTTTTTATCTCCCTTAACACTTTATGCCACCAGCAGAGTAACAATATACAGGAGATAAGAAGGTCGTTCAGGTCAGCACGACTCTGGCAGGTGTTGGTTCAGACTTCGAGAATCTGACCTCAAGTAGTTTATTTTAGGCATATTTAAACATAGCACAATTTCATGAGAAATTTTCTGGTTATAATTAACTCACTGCCAAGTGCACAATAAAGCTTAAGACATGACTACATTGAAACTACAACACTCAAGAGGCAGAGACTGGCAGATCTCTGTCAGTTCGAGGCCAGCCTGGTGTATAGCTTGAGTTCCAGGGCAGCAAAGGCTACACAGAGAAACCCTGTCTCAAAAAACCAAAGAAAAGAAACTGTTTATAAAATATATGTGACCTCTTCCATAAAGATATGTTCTATTCTTTTCCATAAAGATATGTTCTCTAGATTGACAAGCTCACAATAAGTGGGGAAGATCCAGTATGGTCTAGGCTACACAGATAGTGCAGAGGTCACCAGGCTATTAACCATATCTGCTCTGTGGGAGGCCAGCTCCCACCTTTTACAGGGTTCCTATGAGGAGGAGAGAGGAGTAAGGAATTTGTAGATAGAAAGATAGCAGAGATGAGACAGAAACACAGGGTAGCTTCAGGAGGACCTAAGTCAATACCCAACAGCCCCTTCTGTCTCTACAAAAGGACTTTTTATAACAATGCCAAGGGGCGGGGCAAAAGACCTCCCCCTTGCTAGATCAAAGTACACCGCACAGCCCCAGTGCAGACCCTTCCACACACCTGGTAACCATGCACATGGTCAAGTCATCCCCTTATGCATCCCTGTTGCATAAAGCAAGTGCAGATTTCACTAGGAAAACTCTGTGGACCTCCCCACTGCTCCCAGCCTTGTGGGTGGAAGACAAGTTAGTTATATATCTTTCCCCTTGATCTTACCCTCTGCACCTCTGTATGCAGAGACAACCCTGTATGTTTAATGTGCTTGGGTCCCCTAGTGCTTATCTATGAGCACAAGAACCTCTGTGCATTCCACATTGTAGTCTGAAGTTCTCTGATAGGTAAAATTGTCATATTGCTTGTACTGTACAGTAACTCACACACCACCACTCCTCTTCCCTGTGAGTCCCAAGAATCAAGGATGAGCACTCTTATCTCAATAATGACTAGGACAGCAGGTGCTGAGACGTCTTCCGTTTCAAATATGTTGTCACGTCCTTGACTAATATGCTCTTCAGCACCTTTGGCAGGGCACGGAGCCTCCAAAGTTCCTCATGACATGGACAGGTGCTTAGTCAGTCATGCTGCTCTAGATGTGCTGCCGGGGGCACCTTCAACCAGGGGGAGGGTAGGTAAGGCTAGTGAGCAGGGTGGGTGGGCATGTCGAATCCCTCAGTTCAGGCCCGGGGCCCCAGGAACCTCTATCACTCCCTGTGTTCAGAGCAGATGTTCCTTTGTGTCTCCTTTTTTATTGTGTTTTCATGTTTCTTAGTTTTATATTTTTAGTGTTTGTGCTATTTTTCTGTTTTGTTTTGTTTTTGTTTTCCTTTTTTATTCTGGAATCTTGTTCTGCTCATCTACAAGATTCATGGAGCTAAGATATTCTCGTGGAGCTACCATGAGGACCAAGCTGACTAGGGATTCCACACAAGGCACTTGTACCACGCTGATGCTGTTCTGATGTTCATCTTTCATTCCAGGGACATTCCTGTGTGAAACGTCAGTGTTGGCAATGCATGAGGAAAACGTTTATACAGTGGAGCCAAACCGAATCCAAGTGCGGACCTGGCAGGTGAGGAGCGAGGATGGTGACTGGGATGGTAAAGGTCCAGGGAAGTTGAAAACGCTGTCTCCTGGTCCCAAGTCCTATTTTCCAATCAGGTGGCTCACTGGAAATGGGTTCTGGTGTAGCCTCTCCATCCATGCTGTGACCTCTGAAACAGAGAGGCAGGGTTAGAGCGTTTCTCAGGGGGAAAGTTCATTTCCCTGGACTTTGACTATGCTGGGCTATAAAACGGGAGGAAATGCTTGTTGGTTTAAAAACCTTCTGAAGGCTTTGTACTATCAACTTAGATGATGGTTCTGGATGAGCCATCCCCTAAATGTGAGTGAGGGTGAGGCCAAGATGGGGGCAGTGCTGGCCTCGCACGGTGACAGGCCTCTGGCACAGCATCTCTGTCACGTTATCTTCCCTGTCTGCATCCCACTGTGACGTGCTGGAACCCAGGACTGACATGAAACCAACTTGCTATGGCCACTACAACGAATTCTCACAAACCACTGGCTCAAGGCAACAGAAATTTATTCTCTTACAGTTCTGGAAATCAAGTCCTGAATCTAGATTGGTCGGGGCAAGCTGGTTCAGAAAGCTTTACCCGGGGATCTGTTCCCGCCTCTCTTAGTTCCTAGGAGCCAGTGGTGCTGTCAGTCCCTGGTGCCCTTGGCTTACAGAGGTTTTCCTGTGCTCTGTTCTTCACATGGCATCTCTCTGTAGCTGTATCTTCTGTTCATGTCTGATAAAAACACTTTCAGAAGCTGGAAAGATGGCTCAGCAGCTAAAAGAACTTAGTCTTACGGATGGCTGAGTTCTATTCCTAGCACCCACATGGTGGCTTACAGCCATCCCCAGTTCCAGTTCCAGAGCATCTGATACTCTCTTCTGAGCTCCAAGGGTACCAGGCATGTTTGTAGTATGCAGACTTACATGTGATTAAAAACATACATACACAAAAAGTAAATAAATCTTTAAAACAAACACTTTCACTAGGGTATATAGTTCAGTGGTGGGCTATATGCTTAGCGTGGAGGCCCTGGGTTCCATTCAGAGCATAGAAAACAGTCACTTGTCACTGGTTTTAGGACTCACTGAGTGATTTCATCTAAAAGTCTTTGGACTAAGAGTATGGATTAGTGGAGTGTCTAGATTGGGCAGAGCCCTGAGGTACACCCCCAGAACCATAAAAATAAACAAATCCTTGATTTACTTACATCTGCAAAAACTTTTACAGTAGAGTTTCAAGAAAAGAATCTTTTGGGAGGCAGTTGTTCAGCCCATTGTGTAAGGCAACATTCTATGGCAGGATTGAGAGCCTGTCTCTGGTTTTTAATCTATCAGTTGAGTATGTGTGCATGGGGTGGGTGGGGAGGAGAGAGAGGATAATGGAAAGAAAGATTATGTGTGTGCACACATACATGGTGGACATGGGGTCAGAAGACAATATCAGGGACTCATCCTCTGGCTCCTTCAACTTTTTATGTGAGACAGGGTGGCTCATTGACCTGGACCTTCACCACATAGGCTAGCGGGCCCACAAGCTCCCAGGTATCTGCCTGTCTCAGCCTCCCGTCTTACCACCACTGGAATTCAGGGCCATGTCAGTATGCTTAGCTTTATGTGGGTTTTAGGATCCAGATTCAGATCCTCATGTTCGTGATGCAAGCACTTTACCAACCGAGCCGTCTCCCCAGCCGGGGTGTGATTTTTATATGGGACTTTGAGCTGTTTCTTGGAACCCAGTTTGCTTCACTGGAATTGCCACATCCATGATCTTGTACCTCACATGCTGCTCATCCAGGCCCCAGCCTGGTCACTGGCAACCAGAGTGAAGACTGAATCGAGAAGGGACAGGAAGAACTGCTGGTGTGAGATTGAATGGTGCAGATGTGAGGGGAAGCGCCATGTGGCCCTACACCCTCCTGGGAAGAAGTACTGGGCGCTGGCATAGAACTTGTGAGGCTGTGGTTTTCTACAGCCTATAGGTCGAGAGAACAGAGAGGCCGAGGGCAGGAGACCAGGGCCTACTGGACAGCCTACACCCAGAGCAAAGTCTCCTCCCTTCCCGTGCTGCCTCTTGTTCCTTAATGTCTGCGCTCTGACGTCAGCAGTTGTGAATGGGGCGTCCGTTGTGGACAGAGATGAGAGAAAGGCGCTGTTCTTCTTGACAGAGTGAGGGAAGCTGCATCACAGTAAAGACCTGCAGATGCTGGGCTTTGCAGGAAATTAGAAACAGAACTAAGGAGCCTGTCTATAGGAGCAACAACTGGCGTGGAGTTGGCTCCTCCTCCTCCTCCTCTTCTTCCTCTCCTTCCTCCTCCTCCTTCTTCTGGTTTTTGTATTTCAGTACAGTGTTTGGATAGAACCCATACCTCATGCACACACCATACACTAAGCCACACCTCCAGCCTGTCTGCCATTTTTATGTTACAGAAGACATGTGTGTTGGTTGTGGTCAGTGAGGAAATGCTAGTGGTCTCTCACATTCCCACCCATGTCTCTCATCAGGAGGCAGATGTGTGGCTCTATTAGTGTCTGGCTCAATGCTAAGGTGTCTTCAGACACTTCCTTGCCATTTTCCTGCACCATTACCTTTAGAGAGGGTCAAGGTATGGGCCATACATGGTCAAGACTGAAGCCAGAGCCCTGGGTAGAGTGGAAGTGAGGCAGGAGGTTGGTGGGCTGATGTTGACGTCAGCAGGAGTAGGGTAGATTTGGGGTTGCCTCTTCTGGTTTTGTGTTAGTTTTCATTAGAATAGAACTTCTGTGCTTGCATGGTGAAAAGACTGGGAGTTGGTGAAGGACGATGGAATCCTGGTTCAGACAGTGAGTTGTGAGAGGTAGTGGACTCTCACAGAGGAGAAAGAAGTGGGGTACTTCCTCTTCTTGAATACAGGCTAGATTTGTTGTGGAACCTGAGAAGTGGAAACTGTGGAAGCAGAACAGGTGTGGGTAAACTTGAACTGGAGAGCACTGCCTCCTTTCCTGCAGTAATGTACCCATATGGCCTCTGCTCCGCCTGACCACCCTCAAAGCATACAGCTTTCTCCGTTGCTCACTCTTGTTTTTTGCTTTTTTTCAAGGCAGGGTTTCTCTGTAGTTTTTTGGTGCCTGCCCTGGATCTCACTATGTAGACCAGGCTGGCCTCGAACTCACAGAGATCCACCTGGCTCTGCCTCCCAAGTGCTGGGATTAAAGACATGTGCCACTGCCGCCCGGCCCCATTGCTCACTCTTGCAGTCATACCAGACTTAAGGATCGTAGGCACAGAGATACTTGTTCAGTGTGTGTCACCTCCTGTTCCGGGTTCTCCTGATAGCTGCCTTCTTCCTGGTTCACCTCATTTTAAACACTGCCCCCAAAATAGATGTTAATTTCTTTAGTTTGCTGAAATGTGAGCTACAGAAAGCATGAGTGTGAGAGCACCGTTCCTCCTCTTACCACCCAGATGACCATGCACTTAACATTGACAACGTGAGAAGTATCTTAGGAGCTCTTACCCACAGGGACAGAGGTCACCATCTGTCTACCCTTGCTACATTCCATCATCCTGTGTGTGACCATAGAGCACTTCTCATCTGAGTGCCCTTTGTATCTATAATCCTTGACCTGAGGTGTGTGGCACCAAGACTGTATGAGACAGTAGCCTTTCTTCCTCTGGAACCAACCCGAGTTTAGATGCATGCTGGCCCATTAGTAATCACTTACTGGGTGAATGAGTGGGGTGCATGAGATGAATATTGTTTAGGAGGGAAATGGGCACCATAGAAGTGTACAGCTAAACTTGTTCTTCTTTCCCCAGGGAACTGTCAAACAACTTCTGCTGTTCTCGGAGACCGAAGGGAGCCCCTGCTTCCTAGACATCTGTGGGACTTTCCTGGTTGCAGGGACAGATTTAGCTCACTTTAAAAGTTTTGATCTTTCTAGAAGGTACAGTTTTCATCCAAACAGAAGTAGTATGAGACAATTTAGTAGACAGAAAATTGGAACAGTGTCAAAAGTCTTAGATTCTTATCTCACATGACACTTTTTTTTTTCTAATTTAGAAGAGACTGTATAATGGTTCTATAAATTAACCTTTTCCCTGTGCTAGGGGTTCAGTGCGTAAGGTGAGAAGCAGTGAGCTGAACAGAACACCCCTAGGCCAAGGTCTCAGCAGTCAGAGAAATGAATTTCTGTGATCACAGGGACCACGCTGATGCTGACGTCATCCTTTCCTCTCCTGTCCCCACAGGGAAGCAAAAGTGCACTGCAGCTGCAAGAACCTGGCTCAGCTGATCCCTGATGTGGGGAGCATCACTTCTCTGAGATGCAATGCCAGTGGGAACAAGATCAGCATCCTCCTTAGCAAGGTAAGGCCGACATCCCTGCCGGCCTTCGGCTGGTCCATGTGAAGACCCTCCATAGCGTCGGCTCTGGCTGGATATACTCTCTTCAGTAGATCTTTTGGGGCTTTATGTCTTGCCCTCTGTCTAGCCCCTCCATCCATCGGCTCTCTCCTGCCTGCTTCCATCTTAGCACACACTCCGTGTTGTGTTGTTTTTTGTTGTTGTTGTTTATTTATTCTTTGTGTCTTTCACATTCATTTCCTATCCCTTTGTATCCACCCTCTGCCCTTGCAAACCCCCCCCCCCCAAATAAAATAAAATTTAAGAGAAAAAAGAAAGAAGGAAAAAATCAATTTAATCATGGAAACTGTAGGGTGACACAGTGAGTCACACAGTAAACACTTACCCATATATCTTTACTTGCAAGTGTTCATGCAGGGAGTCATTGGTCTGGTTCGAGGCCTCTGGTTTCTGCTACACTGTCGATGCTGGGACCTCACTGGAACTCCTCTTGGATATCCTGCTGTTGCCCTGTGTTGTGGAAATCCTTCGGCTTTGGGTCTGCAGGACTAGTTCCTTCACTTACTCCAGCAGGTTACAGATGGGATGGATGTTGGGCCCTGGTTCTGGGCCTGGGTAGTTGCAGGGTAGGTCAGTCCACCAGCTCTCCCTTGTCCTCACTACCAGGGTGAGCTCTCCTAGATTTTCCTGGCAAGTTCACCCCTTGCAGCAGTAAGTAAGGGGTGGGGCCAGTTCTTCTTTCATGTCCTCAGGGTCAGATGCCCAGCACCTGCTTCTTCAAGGTCAGCTCTACTTGATGTCCAGGTGTGGTGTAGGGGCCACTCTCTTGAGTGCTGCAGCTGGTGAGGACCAGGGCCAGCTCTCCACCCACCTCAGACATTGATAGGCAGGAGGGTGTGGGGGTGTGTGGCATCTCTCCCCTGCCCATGCCACACCGACCGCATGACAGATGCTCACAACTTCAGGGCTGGCTCGCTCTCCCACACCTCCACCAATCGAGTTGGCTCTATTGTGTTGCCCACTCGAGACGTAGGGCCTGCTCTCCTGAGACGCACTCTGTCTTTTGTTGGTTGTTTGTTGTTTGTTTTGTTGTTGTTTCGAGACAGGGTTTCTCTGTGTAGCCCTGGCCATCCTGGAACTCACTCTGTAAAGCAGGCTGGCCTCGAACTCAGAGATGTGCCTGCCTCTGCCTCCCGAGTGCTGGGATCACAGATGTGCACCGCCACAGCTGGCCAGTGCTCACCGGCATGCACTTTCCATCTTTTCCTGCCTCTCTTGGTTCTCCTCAGAAACTGTGGCGTCCTCTTCAGAGAGCCTTCGTCCTTTTCTTGCTTGTCTTCTTTGTCACCCAGCCAAACTCTTTGTCACAAGAAGGGGTGACAGTTTCTTCTACCGCTGTTAAGCCTGTAGCATCTTCTTTTGTCTGAAGTTCCTGTGAAATTTCATCTTTCCTTTTTAAGGGACTCACACTCTATGATTCTCGTGCCTACGAGAATAAAGTTTCCTTCTGGATATGTGTTTCCTCTTCATTGCTCTGTGGGCTTGCGGAGCCGGCTGCCTTTGTGCCCGTTGGCAGACGCTCTGAGGAAGACACTGAATTAACAGAACACAAAGGCAGGTGGACACAGTGGAGGAGGCAAGGAACGAGGGATTGAGCCCAGCTCTTCCCTTTCCTCAGCTTCTTTTGTATATACGTGTACATGAGATTCTTCCTCTGCAAGTCTTCAAAAGAAGGAAGCGAGAAATGAGAAGATTATAGTGGTAACATCATTGTGAGTTGTGTTTTGCAAGTCCCCCGACCCAGTCTTAAAATGCACCAGCCCAGTAAGTGCTGCAGCTCAGGATCCTGACCCTCATGGCAGCTTGTTTGGAACAAGGGAAGGAAGAATGGGAGAGCCCCACAATGAGGTTAATACGAAAGGAAATAAGGACACAAAGTGGCAGCAGTGTGAGGCAGGCAGCTGCATGAGCCAGCAGTGGGAGCATTTGAACCTGTGAGAAGAGAACATCCCTGATCCTCAGAAATCCTTAGGTGTAGAAACTGGAGAGATGACTCAGAGGTTAAGAGCACTTGTTGCTCTTGCAGAGGACCTCAGTGCTGTTCCAGCACCCACCTGGTGGTTCACACATCCTTAACTCAAATTCCAGAGGATCTGACTGCCTCTTCTGACCTCTGTGGGCACCAGGCACATATGTGCTATACATGCATACCTGCAGGCAAATTCTGCATGCACGTGGATTCTTTTTAAAAGAAATCTTTTGGGTTGGGGATTTAGCTCAGTGGTAGAGCATTTTCAAGGCCCTGCAAGGCCCTGGGTTCGATCCTCAACTCAAAAAACAAAAAAGAATCTTTGTGTGCCGTCATGAGGTAAGGCAGCCAGGATCACCAGTGACGCTCTGGAGCTTCTGAACCCAGAAAGCCCAGAGCAGCTAAGTCTGAACACAAGGTAGAACCCAAGAGCTGCTTGTTTTCTTTGTGTCCAAAGCCACTTACTGAGCATTCTCTTCTGAGGGCCAGGGTCCAGATGCAGATTTCAGAGATGGCATAGAAAGAACCCTCAGGTGGGCGTGTTTCACTGCTTATGCTGCCCAATGGGGCATGGGCCAGTGTGTTCCCACCTCCTTCCTCTGCTCCAGGACATTACTGAGCAGTTACAGGCTCAAGGTGCCATTTGGGGATGCTGACTTTCCTTTATCTTAAAATAGGTTCTCTAAAAACTTGAGATAAGAGTCATATATGGTAAAATTAACCATTTGAAGTGAACAATCCAGTGACACTTGGTACATTTGCAGTATAGCACAGCTGCAGCCTCTGTCTGCTTCCAGACATTCATTCATTAATGTCACACCCATTAACTGCCATGCCAATTCCCCATTTTAGCTCCTGGCAACCACAGGCCTGCTTACTCTCTCTGGATTTTCGTGTTCTGGACATGTCATATAACATGTGGCCCTTTGGGGGGCGGGGGCGGTTTCAAGACAGGGTTTCTCTGTGTCGCCCTGGCTGTCCTAGACTCACTCTGTAGACCAGGCTGGCCTAGAACTCACAGGGATCTGCCTGCCTCTACCTCCTGAGTGCTGGAATTTAAGGCGTGCACCACCGTGCTCATCTTGGAGACCTTTTTTTAGCTGAGGTAGACTAACCAAGGACTCCAAAGGACTCTGGATTTAAGGCAAAAATAACATTCATACAACTGAATACAGATGAAACAAAGGTCAACGATGGGAGTGATGATCATTTCCATTTGGGAGTTGACACATGAATCGCCTGCTACTCACAGCAAGGAGGAGCCTCCAAGGTGGCGGTTCCATTCTAAATCCACAGAAGATCTGTTCACAAGGGCAAAATGTGAGCAGTCACTACGTGACCGTCAACAGACCAATGGAGAAAATATGAGTGAACTCTGTGAGTTCAAGGTCAACCTGGTCCAAATCATCCAAGGCTACATAGTGAGACCCTGATTTTCTATTTTCTTTCTTTTTTTTTTTTTTTTAATCTCTAGTCAAAACTGAGAACAGCTACAACTTTTTAGACTTTGTTCTAAGTTGTCTGAAATTACAGTAACTTAAAAACTATCTCAGTGGGCTTAATAAAGAATTACATTATTATTCTGGTGGTGTGCCATTTGCTGGAAGCCAAGGAGCTGGTGACAGGTGCGTTTTCCTCAAGTATGTGCTGTGTCAGCCCCATGGGCACAGGCCCTAAAGCACTCTCCAGTCCCTGAGCATTATGTCTTCTCTTTCCTAGGTTGACAATAGCCCTGATTCCAAAATCTACATCTATGATGTTGAGATGGACACAGTGAATGTCTTCAACTTCAAGACTGGACAGATTGGACAGATACAGACACTGCCCTTTAATGAACCGGAGGCCAATGAGTAAGATTATAGTCACGAGGATTTTGTGGAAAATGGTATTTGCCACTGCCCAACTTACTAGGTTATATTTGAGTGCCAGAGCCTCACAGAAGCTACAAGTAGTAAACCCACATGTAAGCAGTTGGAGTAGACTAAGTTCTTGGTCTCTGCTTCAGGGTTGAGATCATGGAACTGACTTAGTAGAAACTCAAAATTTGGAGGAGCTCTCCGAAACATCTCTAGAAATGTCCCAGAACAGAGTGGCCTCAGGCTTATTGGCAGCTCCGACAGGAAAGAAGTGCTTGTCTTTGTAGAGACTATGCTTCTAGAGAAAATAAGAAATAAGTGTCTTTCTGTTGAGGGAGGGCTGATGTAACACATGGATATAGTTCTTGCCACAGAAACTGTGCTCTTGGGATTTCACACACTTACAGTACCTCGCTACATCTATATTTAATTCCACATGACTTGAGTCAGGAAAGCAGATAGTTTGGGAAAGATGCTAAGTGTGTCTGCAGTGAAGTAAGCGCAGAACAGAAAGCATGGGATGGAAGCCTCCAGGTTCGCTTCAGCGGCTTCTGCAGAACAGAGGAACTGGCAACAGGGTTGCATTCAGTGGCTTGTTTTTTCTGTCATCCTTTGTACTCTTCTGCTGTTTTTGCTAGTTTTGATGTTTGATTGATTGTGATGCTAAGGACAGATCCCAGAACCTGTGTGTGCTACCACTGAGCTACACCCCAACCCCAGTCTGACGTTTGCTAGTTCTAGCAGGTCCCTCCTTCCTGACTCCTCTTCCTGCACAGTCTCCCCTGAATTCTTCCTGTCCCTCTCCCTGAGTCCTGCCTGCCTCCTTAGAGCCTTCTCTGGAGCCTCCTTTAATCTGCTTGGTCTACTTTTCATCTCTGTTGATGCCTTACTTCAACAACCCCTTCTTCTCATCCCCCCTAACTGTACCACTGACCTCCTGCCTCAGAATATGGGCCCTTGAACTTCTGGCCCCCTCAGAATGATACAGCTTCATCCCAATCCCAGTGTTCCTGGGTTCTCTGCGACTGGGTGTAAATCATTGGAGCTAACCTTTCCTTTCCTTTCTACAGTCAGTTCCCCTCTTTATCTTGTTGGTTTTTCAAGATGGTTTCTATTTGTAGCTTTTGGAGCCTGTCCTGAACTCACTTTGTAGATCAGGCTGGCGTCGAAATCACAGAGATCCACCTGCCTCTGCCTCCTAAGTGCTGGGATTAAAGGTGTGCACCACCACCGCCCAGCTTCCCCTCTTTATCTTATGATCTCCATCCTTTGCCACCTAGTTCATTGATCTCCCTGTAGAACTTCTTCAAGTTTTGGGCCCATAAATCATGGTATCTTATAGATGGGAAAGACTAGGGTAAAATTAGACAGCATCACACAGGCTTTCTTCTGAATACCTCCTAGGAAATTTTAGGGCCTCTGCAGGACCTCCAGATCCAAGCATCATTCCCTGTGTCTCCAAGCCAGACTTCCCAGGCCCTTTCTCCCAATTCCTCAAAGTCTGCAAGAGTGTGTTCTGATAGGATGTGTGACAGTGAGTGGCCCAAAGATGCTCCAGGAGCCATGAACTTGCCAACTCTGTCACCCGTTGGCATTGCCTAAGATGATTATGAGTGGTGTGCAGAGCACTAAAAACAATGTTCTTCTCAGAGTTGGGGATAGGCCTTCCCTTCTGTTTTAGGACCCACATCTTTATGCATGAAAGACTAGAGAGTTACGTTCCTGTGAACCATTTCTGGGATCAGAGTGAGCCCAGGCTCTTCGTGTGTGAGGCCTTGCAGGAAGCACCTGGAGCCCAGCCACAGGCTGTAGACAAGCAGCCCCACGTGGAGGACACATGCCACAAGGTACCTATTGTTTGCTATGTTACATGTTTAGACATATATAGTAACCATTTGCCAGATAGTATCTTCATGGCATAACTTAAGGGAGAGTTACTAGGAAAATTCACTCATGGGAAGTAGAATATCTGTATCATCCCTCCCACTTACTAAGTGTCACTGTGTCATCAAGATCATTTCCATAAGCCAGTGGTGGACAGAGCCATCATTTGGGGGAGGAGTGCTTCAAGGCAGGGTTTTTCTGTGTAGTCCTGGCTGTCCTGAAACTAGCTCTGTAGACCAGGCTGGCTTCGAACTCACAGAGATCTGCCTGCCTCTGCCTCCTGAGTGCTGGAATTAAAGGTGTGCACCACTACCACCACCACCACCACCCTACAGACAGACCCATCTTGAACCACACAAGAAAGCTGCAGTGAGGTGTGTCTGTTGGATGGCATTCTCCGTTTAATCTGCCTCACCCTTCCTGTCTAGTTCTGCCCTACCTTTTTGTCCAGCCTAACCCCAAATTTTAATTTCTTGATTTTCTCAACTGCCCCAAGTTACTCTTCTCTGTGAACAGAGCTGAGATTGAACCTGAGGTAGAGCTGTAATCCTCATCTACTCCATATCAACTATCCCCAATCACTGTCTCTGCCCTCCTCATTGCCCCCCACCTCTGTGGGACTCAGGCTCCATGCAGATGTGCTCTTAGCTCCAGAACAGCACCCACATAGGAACTGGGACTCTGATATTTTGCAAGGCTTATGTTTTGCAAGATGTCAGATGTGCCTAAAAAGTCCAGCAACCTATGTGCCACTGTAACCCACCTTCCTCAGAGCAGTTTGTATGCACAACTCCCAAGTACACACAGAGGGCACAGGGAAGCCCATTCTGTAGTTTCAGGGTTCATTTTCATGCTGGAGGCATTCTCACAGATGAGAGTCTGCCCCTGAGACAATCTGAAATCAGTACCCTGAGAATACCAGAAGCAAATCCTGTCCTTGATACTCAAATGCCAGAATGATAGAATAGATTGAAGTGGCTTCTGTATCACTGGAATGAAGGAAACATTGTCAGAGGAATTTTCCAGATGGGCAGTGTGACGGTCCCAGGAAATAATGGGCACAGCAAAGATAGCTAGTAAGAGGCATGTCCATGGGGAGGTTAGTGCTGGTCATGTGATCAAGTGGTTCTTTATGTTTTTTGTGATGATGGTGTGTGCAGTTCTGAGAGTTCACACCACAGTATATGATGGTGTGTGCAGTTGAGAGTTCACAGCACAGTAATTGATGGTGTGTGCAGTTCTGAGAGTTCACAGCACAGTAGTTGATGGTGTATGCAGTTCTGAGAGTTCACACCACAGTAATTGATGGTGTGTGCAGTTCTGAGAGTTCACACCACAGTAGTTGATGGTGTGTGCAGTTCTGAGAGTTCACACCACAGTAGTAAGGAAAAGTCCTGCATCCTCTTTTTGTTTTTAAGAAGCAGTTGCAGACAGGAAGGTAGTTCTGGCATTTGTTGTGGCTTATTCTGCTCACATGAGACAGAGGCAACATAATATTTGGTCTGTCTCTTGTGCCTTCTCTATTTCTTAAGAGCAGAGAAGAGAGGTGTTTCCTTTTTTGTTGTTTTTGTTTGTTTGTTTTGTTTTTTGTCAACATTGCAGTTGTTTGGTTTTGGTTTTGGTTTTGGTTTGAGGCAGGGTCTCACTATGTAGTTCTAGCTGGCCTACAGCTCACTATGCAGACCAGGCTGGCCTCTAACTCAAAGTGATTCAACTACCTCTGCCTCCCAGGTGTTGGGCTTAACCGGGCTCATTGGTGATTTTTAAATCAGAGCAAAGAAACCCAAAGGGAGAATTTTAAGGAACACAGGCACTCCTGAGTTTCCCTCCTGAATTCAGATGGGGTCTGTTGGTCACAGACAGGTAAAGTGAAGTCATATGGAAGATGCCTTCATTCTTCAAAGGCGGCCGATAAGAAGCTTGGGAAGCCCTGGCAGAATGGCGTCATGACTGTACCCCCGAAAAAGAAATTGAGAAGAAAATAGAAATTTATATTGCTAAATTTAAAACCAAACAACATTGTTGTGTCTTCCAGGAAGATGTTTTGATTCTGTCATTCTTCGCTTCTGAAGAACATGGCTTCTTGCTCCATGACTGCTTCCCCCAGTCTCCTACCTACCAGAATCTTCTGGGAATGGAAGTGCCTCATTATTACTTCACAAAAAAGGTGGGAATCCCTAATACCTGCACAGTTATTCCCTGTTCTTCCTTCGCTTTGGGCTCCATTGTCACCTGAGAGGTGGTGGCCGTGGTGACTGTGGAGACTGCCGCTGCTTTTTCCTGTTTTCTTTTCTTTTTTTTTTTTCAGAGCTGGGGTCAAACTCAAGACCTCACACATGCTAGGCAGATGTTCTACCACACAACACAGAGCAACTATACCTGAGGGACTTTTTCCACACAGGAGCCCAGTGGGCTTGTGGGGTCGAAGCCTGGCCACAGGGCCTGGAGCTGTCAGGGAGCTCCATGGTCACTGAACTCTGCCATAGCTTTGAACCCCGGAACCAAAGAAGCTGCCATCTTGCTGGATCCACACCTTCTGGAAATCTGTAGACAACCTCCCTGTCACTGTCCTTGTACTGTCACACCAAAAAGGGTGGGGAGAGGGGACAATGGTGTCAGCTTTTACCTGTTACCTGAGTGTTTCTTGGTTTCCCCATATGGTGATGTAAAATCAGTCTTTAAAATGAGCCCGGTGCTGTTCTTATTGTCTGAAACTAACCTTTCGATCTTTAAAAAATTATTTTTAATTTTATGTATGTGTGTCTACATGTGGGTATGTGCATATGAGTGCAGGTGCCTGTGGAGGCAAGAAGCAGTACAGGTAGTTGTGAGCTCCCTGGATGATGGGAACTGAACTATGGTTCTCTGCAAGAGCAGTGAGCTACTGGGCCATTTCTCTAACCTCACCCCCTTCCCTCTTTTTCTTTCTTTCTTGCAAAATTTTAATTACATAGCCTAAGGTGGCCTTGAACTCACATTAGTCCTTCTGCCTCAGCCTCTTGAGTGCTGAGATTGCTAGGATTACAGATGTGTCCAACCATGCCTGACTTAGCCTGTTGTTACTTTTGTAGCCAAAAGTAAGTAGTAGGATAGGCCACAGGGAGACCGTAACAGCCCATATCTGCTATTCGGTCCCCTCCACATAACCAATAAGCTAGTGAAACTGTACCATGTGGACTGCTAGACAGTCGTAAGCACAGAAGCCACACTCAGCTCTTCCCAGAGCTGTGATTTACTTTAAAAGGAATTGGCGTAGAGAATAGGGTGGCAGTGGATACTGCCACCTGATTTGTGACCATTGTGATCAGCATTAGGGGGGCTTCTAGCTTTAAGATCTGCAAGCATACATATATAATGATACACACATTTTAAATAAAAATGAACCCAGGACAGTTGGTTCTAGTTTTCCAAGTTACCGTATACAGCAATACTGCACAGCCGCTAGAAGTTGGTGTATGAGCAGTTTGTATGTTACACTCCTTGTGCCTTAAAAATGGAATTGATGTTCGTGAAAGCTGAGAAAGTGTTTGTGTGGTCAGCTAAGTTCTGGGAGTCCCTTCTCTGTCAGGACAGCTGTCCTTAATGGCTTCATTTTAAAATAGAATTCCACCACCAGTCTGATACTTTTCTGTCATTTTTCATTCTTGTTTTGTGTTCTTGGGTGGAATTTCCCTTTGATTTGAAAACAGAAAGTTTGGAAAGCTCTTTTAAATTCTTCCTTTGAGTTTTCCACATTAATTTTATATTCTGGATTTTTGTTTCTTCCACACATTCATGCATGTTTTCTTTTTTTCTCATCTGTCTGTGCCTACACTCGTAGTTGTTATTCCACAGAAGAGGCATCTATGATGCAGTCGTAAGTATGAAGCCCCTGATTATGGCTCGTCACCTTGTTTTTGTCGTGTCCCTGAGAACCATATCTTGTTGCTGTATTGTGTGTGTGCCAGCACTTCCTGCCTACCTTGTTCACCTTCAGAGGAAACTTTTCTGGAAGCTGGGACTTTTTGTTTGCCCATGGAGCCACGTGAAATTTGACAGGAGCCCATTGGCTCTTGGTCTGATGTGTACCTGTGGCATGTGCAGCCATTTCATGTGATCTCCAGATAGAGGAAATGCTTGGTTGACCTACATTTGCAATGTAAGGAATAGCATTAGTTTAACTTGCAAAGTGCTGCCAAGGAATAGCCAGAAGGCATTATGTTCCTTTAAAGGCTGCTCTTGTTCTGTTTGCTGACATGCAGGGCTTCAGTCTCCTTTCCCCCAGGTTTTCAGTGCCCACACATCCCAGGATGGTCTGAGAAAGTCCAATACTCCTAGTTCCCAGCACCTTTACCATGTGACTGGCAGGCTGTTCCAATCTCCTATGACATAGGATAAACAGTCTCTGCCTCCAGTCCAAATACAAATGAGGTCCAAGTCCTGTTTAGCTCCCAAGATGAGACAAGTTCAGATATGTCCCGGGCAGTGTGGCAACAGACAACAATTCTTGCCTCAGAGATCAGTAACAAGGATCTTAAATAAAGAGGCATGGCAAATAAGCAGGGAACAGGGAATTCTGGGGCTCCCCAGGATGCTCATATAATAAACTGGATTCAATAGAACCACACCAAGGATGATGATGTTACCAATGTGAAGGACAATGTCCAGCTATGTGCACAATTAGCCAAACTCTTCTGTCACCTAGTTGGTATTGCCTAATTATATGTGTGTGTGTGTGTGTGTGTGTGTGTGTGTGTGTGTAATATTTTATATGTATATATATCATTAGGTTATAGGATATATGTGTGTGTGTGTGTGTGTGTGTGTGTATATATATATATATGGACCTAATTATGGACCTAAACTCAAGCTACCTGTAACAGAACCTTTGCTTATGTCCTACGCTGTGCCTCAAAAGACTTCCCAGCTACAATGCAGCATGATACATTTCACCTGATTTTCAGAGTCAGGTCAAGTGTAGATTCCTCTGTGGGGTTTCCTCACTGAGCCTGCCAGGTGGGCTCAGAAAGAACAGTGAAGCTGAATTGTTCATGACAGCTGATCTAGGGAGGAGCAGTTGAAGCCACCACTTGGATAGTCATGGTGGCAAATATGTGCTAGAGAGTATGTGTACATAACATTGTACAAATTGTCTGCAGAGAGAAGGGAGTTCTAGTCCTGGGGAGAAGGGTCTAAGCACAGATACATAGGCTGAGAGCATTAGAAGAGCCGTGGCAGGGGCAGTGGGCTCCTCAGCACCTCCTGTTCGAGAAAGACAGGCTAGTATTCTTTAATTTTAAGAGATGCATGTGTGTCTGACTTGACTTAAAACTGGTAAAACGTCTTCATGATGAACACTGAACGAGGGTAACAGAAAGGCCATTTTTAATGAGAGACTCTGACATACTGAATTAGAGGCTGCCAAAACAAGTTTGTACCTGGACAGCCTTTGTTTACCTGTTGTCCCAAACAAGGACCTAAAGCTTTGATAATTCCAGTGACATTAAAGGTTTTCAGGACCCTGTGGGAACCATTTGGCCTGTGGCTATATACCTATGCCTCCCTGCATATAAACTTCCCAGTGGTTGTTTGAATTTAGAGGAAGTGAGACTGAGTGCAGGCATTGCCTTTACATGTTAGCTGACGAGTATATGGGGCCTTTGTCCTCCAGCCTGGAGAAGTGGAGAAAGAAGACAGGGTGGATTCTGGGCACTACCACATCCCTCAGATGGTAGCCAAGAGACCCCTACAAGACTTTGTGGGTTTGGAGGACTGTGACAAGCCGACTCGGGATGCCATCCTCAACTTCAGCTTCTTTGTCACCATTGGGGACATGGATGAAGCTTTCAAATCTATCAAACTCATCAAAAGGTAAGGCGTCCACTTTATGAAGTGTCAAAGGTGACATGCATTCTACCTAGAGCCCTCAGCCTTTTTAATGCCTTCTTTAAAAAAAAAAGTTTTTTTAGATTTATTTTATATGTATGAGTATTTTACTTGCATATATGTGTGTGAATCACATGTGTGCCTAGTGCCTAAGGATATGGATATGGGATCTGGCACACTGTTTGGTGCTGCAGGCAAGCCTGGCTCCTGGTATCAGTGGTGCCAGGAGCCTCTAGGCTGTTACTTTATCATTTTCATTTATTTTAAAGTGTTCAGAGTACTCTGATTCAAAGTTCTGTAGGTGCTAATTATTGCTCAAAAGTATTAATAAATAAACACCAAAACTATCAATGAAGTACAGTTAAATTTTATGAAAGAAGTTACAATGATCTAGATATGCTGGCTTGTTCTAATCATCCAGACTTAGAAGGTTGAAGTAGGAAGATTACTGTAAGATTGAAGGTAGCCTGGCTATGTAGTGAACTCCCAGCCAGTCTGTGATGGAGAGAGAGAGAGAGAGAGAGAGAGAGAGAGAGAGAGAGAGAGAGACCCTATCTTTAAAAAGAGAAACCAGTAAGGGTATCTACAAATACGTTCTCCATTTGAGAGAATTCAGAAATTCTTAAGAGTTTTTGACAGATTTTCATTTAAAAGGGTAAAATGAAATATGGGAAAGTTATACTATGAGAAACGAAAGATGTGACAATAAATGCCTGAGGCTGGAGAGATGACTCAGAGCACTGGCTGCTCTTCCAGAGGACCCGGGTTCAATTCCCAGCACCCACACAGCAGCTCACACCTGTCTGTAACTCCTCATACAGATATACATGCAATCAAAACACCAGTGAACATAAAATAAAAGTAAATTATATATTTAAAAAAAGAAAACAAATGCTTGGAATAAATTCCCTGCCTCAGCTTATGTACAGTGATTATTTTCTAGCACAGATTGCATGTCTCAGGATGCATATCATGGAATAGTCATCCACTGTCTTTGAAAACTATTGAGGTCTGGTTTTATTGTACACTGGCCATGTAGACATTTAATTTGGAGGTGTCTAGCAAGGCTGAATATCATAGTTTTCCTGGGTAACTTTCATTTACTGTGGACATGATCACAGCCTGAAGCAGACTGATGGCCACTTGTAGACTTTTAATGTACTTTATATAGGCATATACACAATACTAACATATATAGGCACATACATAGTATTAGTGTATAACTAAAAATAAAAATGTCAGCCAGGCAGTGGTGGCGCACGCCTTTAATCCTAGCACTCGGGAGGCAGAGCCAGGCGGATCTCTGTGAGTACAAGGCCAGCCTGGGCTACAGAGCGAGATCCAGAACCTGCACCAGAACTACACAGAGAAACCCTGTCTCAAAACAAAACAAAACAAACAAACAAACAAAAAACATAAAGAAAAGAAAAGAAAAATGTCTTATAGGAAGAGACAAGTGGGAGGAAGTCATAGCTAAATGCATGACTCTGTGTGCTGTACTGTGGATATATACCTGCTTGTTTCTACACAGTGTGCTGTGTGCTTCATATGGCCAATTCATAAATGCTTATATGTCATTATCAGTTTCTTGATGTGTTTAAGACACCGAGCTATTTCACTCTTTGTTCTGACTAAAGATAAAGCTTTGGCACAGGATGGGCTTCAGAATTTAAACTGATCAGTCTTAGTCATTGAAAGCAACAAACTTGACCTTTTTTATGAGAGGCAGCCTGAGGATGCCTCACTCCTGGCTTTCATGTTCTTATAGTGCCACTTCCCCCTTGCTGCATATGCCAGCTGTGATTCCTGTCTCCTGGTGTCCGTGATGAGCTATCCAGCAAAGGTGCACCAGAAACTCATTCACAGATGTAGTCAGGCAGCCCTGGGTTCTGTGGGCCATTTTTAACCCCCGAGGTACATAGTTTATATACTTTCTGGGAAGCCACAGACTAGGGATCCAGCCTGTCTGAAAGCATCGTGGCCTCTGAAGGTATCCACTATCCACTGCCCTAGCTGGAGAGAAGCTGAAGGTTTTCCTGGGGAAAGCTATCGGATTTTATCCTTTCCATTCTGCTTGTTGATCTGCTGTGACAGGCCACAGTTTTCCGAGTTTAGGGATGTGGACTTCACAGATGTGGACTTCTGGGGTGCATAAATCATGGGGTGCCTCCTCTGGAGCCTTAATGAAGTCTCTTCAGTCCTTTTTAGTGTTATCCCACAAAAGTCTCAGAAAAATGTAAAAATATGGATGGAGTTTATAAAACACGCGTTTTAGACACAGTTCAGAGGCTTGTGTTTATTTTAACTTAGACAAATAATCAGGAGTAAAACGTACACTTCTAACTTGATTCTGGCATAATACCGTTACCACCTGTTATAAGTTCTGTTTCATTCAAGGATTATCAGACCCTTCATGAAAAGCTTCCTGGATGTTCTGCTTTATAAAAGTAACCAAGGATGCCATCTTAGTAGATGCAGAATAAATTAACCCCAAATGGAGGTGGAGAGCAAGGTGCCCACACTGCCTCCTACCCTGCCTCAGCTTCTAGTCTCCACCTTTTAAACCTGCATGGTGTGAAGCCTGCTGTGCTGGTCAAGGAAGACTGTGTCAGAAGTAGGGTGGCACACATGACGTATAGACACATAATATATTCATATGTAACATAATAAATGTACATGAGTATCATACATATGTATGTATAGGTAACCCAGACTTGCCCCACACCTCTGCACAAGCAGGGCCTGGGACAGGCAATTGGTTTCTAGACTATGACATTACAGTGGTTATTCATAGAGAAAGTCCCAATAAGGGTGTTCTCAGCATGGAGACTCCACATAGTCATTATCCAAGCCACGGCGAAACCGTGCTGTGAGAGAACGGCTGATGACAATCACCCGGGGTGCCATGCAGTCCTCCCTCCGGTGAAGAATGTTCCAGATGAGCATTGCAGCCGCCAGGGTGGCCAGAAGGCAGGCACCAATGTTCAGGTAGCAAGACCAAGATAAGTTGGTGTAAGGGCCAATTCTGTAGAAGGTCACCAGTCCGATGACCAGCACAAAGCCTACAGAGAGGAGAGAATAGGTTAGTAGCTTATATGTGAGCCCCCAGGAGGCAGGCTGTGCCCCTCTCCTTCAATGCTTTCCTCCTAGATGGGGGCTAAGCTACTTTGTGTCCACCTTCTTCTCTCTTGCAGCCTTTGCACCTGGAGGTTGCAGCCAGGCTGTAACTCTGGGAAGCAGCAGGAGGAGACAGTAGAGGGTCCTGTCCAGTCGACCTCTGGATCAGGCCTGCTGTTGAGGGTCAGTATGGCTTCTACAGTCCCCACACCTGGCAGGCAGCCTTCCCAGCCCCAGACAGAACCAGCCATCATTTTGTTAAATTGAGTTCAATTACCTCTGACTTTGATAAATGCTTAATTCATTTGAAGCAAAAACAGATAGTTGTTAAATCTTATCTAGAAACAGACTGGCATTTGTTGGTTTTAATCCATGCTGGGGAATTTTCATACCCATGGCTCTGCTGTCAGAGGGAGCAGAGGTTCCCTCTCTTCTGATCAGGGTGACCTAGAGCCCACATCTGGCCACCACAGCCAGGTTGGGGCCTGGCTCAGGTCTGGTTTTGATATGTTTGGTTTCCTTTATCTTCTCAAGAGTTTCCCTCTCCCCACCGTACCTCCTCTGCCTGTGCTCTGGGGCTGTTTTTCCTTCTGTGCCTTCCCTCTTCATAACCTGACATCGCATAAGGGGCAGGAGAGGTGAGTCAGGAGCTGCTAACTGGTTAACACGCGCACATGTTCAGTCAAGAGTGATATCGCTGTCCTGATTACTGTTTGTTTGCTTGCTTGCTTGCTTTTGTGACTAGATCTCACTGTGTAGCCCTGGGTGGCCTTGAACTCTTGATCAGCATCTTGCTTCATCCTCCTGAGTACTGTACCACCATGTCTGGCTCTCACTAATTCCTCTCTTAAGGGATGACAATGACTTGATCTTGTTGGTTCCTATAATAGGAACGTCTCAGTTTTCTGCCCTGACTGTCAACTAGGATGTGAGGACACGGCTGTTTGACAGAGAAGGCAGCACTGGGAAGTCTGTGGGACAGATGCTCTGCCATGCTGCTTCCCAGAAGCTGTGGGAGCAAGAGGGGAAAGGGCAGGGCAGAAACAGAGGCGTGGGGACGCGAGGAGGACACAGAGATCCCATCCCATTTTGCCCCTACCACAGACCAATACCACTTATCCAGCAACACCTTCCTCCAATCATCTAGCTGGGTCTTTCTCCAGCTAGACTCTCCTATCACTTGGGTTGGTCTAGGTCAAACACTAGCCCCTCAGGTTCATCCAAATCCTTTCCCAGAGCTCTGGTTACGTCGAACCCCTGCTGCTGTCCTCTGCAGCCCTGCCTATTGGCATCTGTAGGTCTATTGTGACTGTTCCATTCACTCACAAAACCACCACTGCTTTCCTTGGAAGACAATCATGAGGGCCCCCTGTGGTCCCAGAGCAAAGAGCAGCATCAAGAGAGACAGAGACTGGAAGGACAGGGGGAATATCACCTTTGACTTTTCTAAAATGTGGTGGTTGTTATCTCGTCCTCACAAGACCTTCCAGAAGTTAGGAACTGAGAGAGTTTGCTTTCCCTCATCTTGTCCTAAATGATTAAAACTCATGTCCATGTTGATTGTAGTTCTTTGTGGAACTTTTCATACACGAAGAGCTATTAAAATTTGCGTTCCAAGCCGGGTGTGGTGACTCATGTCTTTAATCCCAGTACTTGGAAGGTAAAGGCAGGTTGGTCTCTGAGTTCAAGGCCAGCCTAGTCTGCAGAGCGAGTTTAGGGGACACACACATGCCACACACACACACACACACACACACACACACACACACACACACACACACTTCATTCCATTGTACTACCTGCTTACTAGAGGCAACTTCCCTACCAGTGAAGAGTGAGGCTTCTGTTCACAGCTTCATGCTACAGACATTCATGTTAGTAGAGTAAGCAGTTGGAGCTGGCGTTCTGTCTAAGGCATGTAGAAATGCTTTCAGTCTGTCTCCTCATTCTCGAGGTCTTTGGACATGATTAACAGCCAAAAGAACTTTTTATACTTGTTTCAAGACTGAGAAGAGGTTGGAATTGAGCAGCCTGGATACACAGGTTGCCAGCAGGTGTCTTCTGAAACAATAAGTAATAAACAAGGGAAGATATGAAGCCTAAGGAAACAAGCCCAAAGAAAGAAAGATGCCAAGAGGGTGGGCAAGTAGGAGGAAACTTGGCCATCAGCAGGAACCAGCTGCTACCAAGTATCTACCCTGCTCTCGCTTTTCCGAGTTTCCCTTTTGGTCTGTGCATGCTAAGGGACATGTTTAAAAATTGACTGGGCTGGAGAGGTGGCTCAGTGGGTAAAGTGCTTGCCATATAAACATGAGGACCTTAATTCAGATTCCCAGAAAAAGCCAGACATGGCAGTGTGAGTCTGGAACTGTAAGAGATGGAAATAGGCGGGTTCCATGGAAGGAGAAAAGCACACACTAGGCAACGGTCTAACCAGAAGGGTGAGTTCCAGGTTCAGTGTCAATGTCTCAGGTGTCTCAGTGTCTCAGCTTTAGACCCTGTCTCAGAAATAAGCTGGAGGATCCACTGAGGTGGCTCAGTGGTAAAGGCACTTGCTGCCCAATGATATAACCTGACAACTGGAATTCAATCCCCAGAACCCACATGAAGGTGGGAAGAGAGAACTAACTCCACAAAAATTGTCCTCTGACCTCCATGCATGCCATGCATGTGCTGTGACATGCATACTCCTACACGCATTTTATACATACACACAAAATGACATTTAAAAAAAGAGGTAGAGAGTAATAGAGGAAGATACCCAGAGTCAACCTCTAGCCCACACACATACAGGCAAGTGCACCTGCACACATGTATGCACACACATGTATTCACTACACATATGTACAAAATTTTACATTTTTGCTGAGTGGCCCCAGCTTTATATCCACAATATCCTTCATCAAAATGGAACAGGTTAATTAATTGGCTCCCACAACCTCAGGGTGAACTGAAGCAGAGTCAAATACCTACACAGCCCCCTTGTTTGTCTTGGAGTTGGTCTGCATCACTGATGTGTAAACAGAAAGGGTCTGAAGGTAACCTCTTACAGGAAATTTTCTTGCCAGGCATTGGTGGCACATGTATTTAATCCCAGCATTCAGGAGGCAGAGTCAGGTTCATCTGTGTGAGTTCGAGGCCAGCCTGGTCTACAGATAAGAGTTCCAGAACAGCCAGGGCTACACAAAGAAACCCTGTCACAAAAAAGCAAAAAACAAACAAAAAATTTTTCTTGGGGCGTAAGAGATGGCTCAGTGATTAAGAGTACATACTACTCTTGCAGAGGACCTGAGTTTGGTTTTCAGCATCCATATTAGGTGGTTCACAAGTGCCTGAAACTCTAGCCCTAGGGGATCCAGCATTCTCTTCTGGACTCCTTGGGTACCTGCACGCATAAGTGTAGATACACACATATACACATAATTTTAAAATGTTTAAAAATCTTTTTAAAAGAATTAATTCTTTTTGTTTGTTTGAGACAGGGTTTCTCTGTGTAGCTCTTACTGTCCTGGGACTCGATTTGTAGAGGCTAGCCTCAAACTCACAGAGATCTCCCTGTTTCTGCCTCCCAAATGCTGGAATTAAAGGTGTGGGCCACCACTGCTCAGCAAAGTTCTTTTTTTAAAAAAAAGGTAGTAGTATTCTCTGGAAACTTGTTTTGATGAAAATTTTTGAATGACAGTGAACCTTCTGGTAAGGACTAAGGTACATTCATGGGACTAGGGTACTTAGCAGGAAAAAAACAGCAAGTGTTGCCACATGAAGGATAGCGAGACCTGCTTTAGTCAAGGCTTTGCAAAAATAGTGTGGTATGGCCCTGGGGCCCACAGTTGCACTCCAGGGAACATTATAACAGGAAACTCATCTAGTCATGAACCAAATCAGCCTCCTCTAAAGGGGGCCCACTGGGACAGCCCAGCTTGAACTGCAGGTCATCAGAGAGAAGGAATGAAAATCCCAGATGTGGTGGCCCAGGAGGAAATCCTAAGAGCACATACAAGTAGTCTCTGAACAATTCAAATACAGGCTAAGCTGCATCTCCAAAAAATACACAGGCCATAAAACTGTCGAGAAAAATCAGGTGTAACAGGACAACTGCAAGAGAGGGAGGAGTCGCCCTTGGGGAGGGCGTCTTCAGGGTCAGGTTGTCACACATGCAGGATTCATCCCTGCTCTGACTCCCCTGTACGGGTGCGTCACAGTGAAACATGCCAACAGATTGAGGAACAACTTCAGATTCTTCAGGGACAGGCCCTTTCCTCCTGCAAGGAATGCAGCAGATGAGCTGCTCCGTGGTCCACGTCCTGCAGTTGTGCTGGCTGATGCTGCAGAGGACGTTGGTGTGTCTGATACCTCCTCTCACAGCCTCACTGCCATCTTCATAGAGCAAAGCTTGTGTCTTCCCCTTGTATAAAATGCTTCCTGGTGCCTTAGAATGTGACTCTGCACCTCAGCCTGGCAGCCCTGCCTGTTCTGCCACCTGTGCTTCCACAACTCAGTCACAGCCTAGGAGAAGGGGACTCCTCTCGGCCCGATACTTCATGGTTAGGAGAGATTGATTTAGTTTAGAGTTGTCTCCTCTTACCGCTCCTTTTGTCTCTCTCTCCCATGTCCCTGGTGCCAGAACTCCTCCACTCCAAGGACTGTCAATAATTACTTGCTAAGTAAATAATTTGAGGCAAATCCCAGCAAATGCAAAACAAAACAGAATGGTGTAAACCTGTGAGAAAGGAGGAATGGGAATGCCCGCCTCTGCTTTTTAGTGACCTGCTGGCCATGGCTGAGTTAAAGGCCCCACTGGAGCCCTGGCTGTCCTGGAACTCTGTAGACCAGGCTGGCCTTGAACACAGAGATCCATCCACCTGCCTCTGCCTCCCAAGTGCTGGGATTAAAGGCATGCACCACTGGCTCAGCCACTTTGATCTTAAAGGATGATCAGAATTAGTCTCACATGACCAGAGCCACCACCTGCTGAGTCTCCTAAGGCCCATCCATGTTAGCCATTAGCCCTGGAGTTCTCGGATGGCTAATTTGCTCTAAGATGATGAATCTACAATTCTACCAAGTGTATCTATCTGAGGAAGCTAAGAACTAGGTCCACCCTCCCAAAGATGGCATTTGATGGTTTCTTACCATACCAGGAGGTATGGGCATTGAACTCTAATTTAAAAAAAAAAAAAAAAGGAACACACAGTCCTTTGACAGCAGAGCAGCCTCCCAGTCCCATGGCAGCTCTCTGCAGGGCTACTCTTCCCTGACAGCATAAGAGCTAAGCGTATACCAACTGTGAGAGGCCAGTGTCCTTCCACTGGGGAGGCATAAGATGAGGGAGAGGAAGCAGCGCCTCTGCTGCCTGAGGTTTGCCAACATCAGACTCACTGAACTGTTACTGTGCTCAATTGTTTTCCTTCCTTCCTTCCTTCCTTCTTTCCTTCCTTCCTTCCTTTCCTTTCCTTTTTTTGGGGGGTTGGGGTGGGATGTGCATGCTAAGGAAGTATCCCACCACTAAGCACAATCTGCAGCCCTTCCTTTCTTTTCTCAGCCCCAACATAATATGTGTGTAAGCGTAATATAGTGTTCCCATGACTAGCTATATTATTTATCATGTACACAAACCAAAGTTTCAGAGAATGTATCT